TAAACTGATATTTATTTATATTTTGTAACTACAGTCGAATAATGAATAGAGTGTGTTCCTCGCGAGTAAGTAAATTTGTATGAGTAATTTTTTACTCGAGTAATAGCTCGAGTAATTGTCGAGTAATACGTTTTCTAAAAAGTGCGCCTGAGCGAAAAAAATATAAAACCAATTTTTTGCGCAGGTTTTGGGGTAGGCTAGTTTCCGCAATTTTTTTTTGTGCAACAGGATCATTTGCGCAACTGGGTCGTTTGCGCAACTCGCCATAAGTTTCTTCTAAGTCATCTTTATGATTTTGGTTTTATTTTGTTGCACTTATTGAGATCTACAAAATGAAACCAAAATCATAAAGATTAGCCTACTTAGAAGAAAGCTGTGGCGAGTTGCGCAAATGAAAAAAGTTGCGGAAACTAGCCCACCCCAAGGTTTTTCAAAAAAAAAAATCATTTTTTACATTGGGAGGGATTTCCCACCAAATCAGTTAAACGGCTGAGTATCTTTAAAAAGTGTCGTATATAATGCGGGGCTCGTCATTTTTGCGTCATTTTTTAAAGATACTCAGCCGTTTAACTGATTTGGTGGGAAATCCCTCCCAATGTAAAACATGATTTTTTGATGGGAAACCATTTACATGATGGGAAAATCATGTCATGATGGGAAACCATTTACAACAATGGATAGAGACAATGATCGAAAAAATGACGCGAATTGTGCTCAATTTCGGAACTATGGGTGAGTTGATGAAAGAGCTAGAGTGTGTTCCTCGCGAGTCAGTAATTACTCGAGTAAAATTTGCACGAGTAGATTTTTACTCGATTAATCGGGAGTGGGACAAATGCGACCTTTTTTTTGCGCACCCGGACATTTGCGCACCTTTTTTTCCGCACTTAGCCCATTAGCGCACCTTTTTTCGTGTTTTAAAAAAGCTAATATTAACCAATTTCTATTCCAAAAGTTGTTTTTCTAGGTAATTTTAGGGCGTAGAATCGAAATTTTGGCATATCAGAGCTTGTGGAAGCGAACGGACGGAGTTATACAAAGAGAAAAATCAACAATTTTCTGTAATTTGACCTAGCCGTTTTGTCTTTAAAATTGATTCCACACGCTCTGTTATGTCAAAATTTTGAATTCGACACCCTCAAATTACCTAGAAAAACAACTTTTGGAATAGAAATTGGTTAATATTAGCTTTTAGAGCTTTTTTAAAACGCGAAAAAAGGTGCGCTAATGGGCTAAGTGCGGAAAAAAAGGTGCGCAAATGTTCGGGTGCGCAAAAAAAAGGTCGCATTTGTCTCACTCCCGATTAATCGACGTTTTTTGGTCGAGTAACTACGAGGTAATCCACTTTACACGTCCAGTAAATTGAATATCTTTACTTGTGAAGGCAATTTCCCACCAGATCAGTTAAACGGCTGAGTATCTTTGAAAAGTGTCGTATATAATGCGTGGCTCGTCATTTTTGCGTCATTTTTTTGCAATAATTTTTTGCTGAAAGTACGATAATTTTTTCCCAAGTGTGCGTTTTAAAAAACGCATTACTCGCGAGGAACACACTCTAATCTTTACTATAAAAAGATCAGTAGTTAACTCCTTGTGGAGTAAGGGACATCAGATGCGTTGTGGTGTAATGGTTAGCACATTTGCCCGGTAAGCGAAAGGTCGCGGATTCGAGTTTTCGAGTCACAAGTTTTTGAGCTGCCCTAGTTCTAACTCAGTGTTTCAACTCTGATATTCATTTATATTTTATAACTACAGTCGATATAATGAATCGCTCGGACCAAAAACTTCGACATAACTAAACTAAAGCATGCCTCAAATGTTTCTGCTTAGCTGCCCTGGCCCTGATTGCATTTGGGGCAGCTATGCAGAAAGTTTGAGAACGTTTTAGAATTTCAAATTTGTTTTATCGAAGTTGGATTGCATCTAGAGTACGATTGTAAGTAAATTGTGGTTTTTTTTAAAGTACCCATGACAAGTTTTGTAACAATTTAAAGCATTTTTTTACAAATACTAATATTAATATTACAAATACAAATACAAATACTACAAATACTTTTTTTTACAAATACAAATCAAGAATAAAGCTTCATAAACCTTTATAAAAACGCAAAACACAATCAATTTTCTTTGTTTTATAATTATCTACTTTAATTGACTATATTGAATAGCTCATTTGCTGAATAGAATAGCTGAATCACTCATTTGCTTGTCATTCATTGAAAAAGTTTAAGAGTTTGTATTGAAATTTCTCTTAGATCATTAGAAATAGAATTAGAAATAGAATTAGAAATAGAATAGAATTAGAATAGAATTAGAATTAGAAATAGAATAGAAATAGAATAGAATTAGAATAGAATTAGAATCTTTATTCTTATCGTAAATATTAGAATAACTAGGCAAGATATTAGAATATGAATAAGGATAATAGAATAAGATATTAGAATAAAGATTGATAGATACTTTATTCAGGACTGGAAATAAAATGCGCTTGATTTAAGATTAATACACAGAACACGAAAAGGGCTGATAAAAAGCAACAACGATATAATATATGTAATATATGGGTAGCACAGATAACGTCAAGAATCCACTAGAGCTTCAATATCGATCATCTACAGATAATTTAAAGGTTTCGAGACTATTACATTAAAGTTAAATAAAGAGAAAACCTGGAAATCTCTATGATCCACAACAATTACCAGAAAACCTGATATTTGTCATTTTTTTGCTATTGAAAGAGCTCTTCTTTCAATTTCTTGTTCACTCATCATTTCCTTTCATTTCTTTTGTCAGTTTAACGATTAACTCCAACCTAAAGTACCCAATGGTGGATTTTAACGAACGACAATTGGCTTTTTTTCTAACCCCTCCAATTCTCTAATCTCTGAATTCTTTTTCTTCTCAACTTCCTGGTGTTTCCTTTAAAGCTTGTGTAAAGTAAAGTAGTAAGAACTTTATAAAGTTTAAAATGAAAACTATAAACTAAAACTTTACAATTCTTTATCAACTAATTTGGCTTTACAACTCTTTATCAACTAATAAAGTTTAAAAACTAAAGCCTTTACCTGAGTTTTTTTAAAATTTTAATCTACTAATAAACAATTTACAATTCTTGATCAACTAATGTGACCAAGAAATTGGCTCTAAATCTATCAAAGAAGAAAATAAAGTGGCAGATTATGCCAGTGGAAAACAGCCGTCACCCTAATCATTGATTCCCAAATCCATTTGTCTTTTTCATCCAATCAAAAAGTCCATAGTGTGTGTTGAGCGTCTGTTGGTCAAAATGGGCTGCTTTTTTTCCTCCATCTTTCCCCTCCTTTCCCCTCACCTTTTTCTCCAAAAAATTTGCGCCTCTTTTCATTATACACCTGCTTGTGATCACGACCCAATTTTTTCTCTTTTTTATTTTATTTTTACTTTACATAGCTTTTAGAGTTTTTAGTTAGAGCTAGAACCAAACTAGAACTTTTAAACGGCTTTTACAAAGATCTACAAAGATTTACAAGGCTTTTACAAAGATCTAGCATTTCAAAACGTTTTTTTTTCGAACAAAGTCAAGCAGATCCAAGTCTGACTCGTTTTTGATTCCCTACCTTATCCCTGAGTCCAGAAACCAGGCCATGGACCTGGATTTGATCATTCTAGAATTTCTAGAAGAATTCTAGAACACGTTTGATTTGATTTGATCATTCTAGAACCTGATCAACACGTTTGGATTTTTTCTGATCTGTCTTCGCATTTAGGTATTCCTATTTGCGCAGATCACAACCAGCTTCTCTATCTCTTGCTATTGTTATCCAGTGTTTCCCATCTTGGTTGTTCCTTGTTCGAAGTCTTCAACTTGCTTGTGCTGGTGGTTGCACTCTAGCCATCCTTTCTCTGACCGTCGACGTCATCGCTGTCACTCTTGTGCTCCACCAAACGTTTTTAATCCAAAAAAACAAACAGAGTCTGAATTAAAAACGGCTATCGCTAAATTACTTATAGAATTTAAGAACATCGACTCTGGATTTCCTGGTTTCCTGGTTTCCTGGTTGAACTTCGACTCTGGATTTCCTGGCTATAGAAACATTCAATATTCTATGCTATTTTTATGTTTAAACGATTACTGTAGAAAGTGTTATTTAAACAACTATAGAACTTGTTTAAATAACAATTTCTACAGTAATCGTAGAACTATAGAACAACTATTACAATTTCTTTTTCTCTTCAATCTTTTCTCTGCATATAAACGAAAATTTCGAAGATTTTACTGAGAAAACAATTTCCGCCTTTTCCCCACAAGTTCATCAGAAAGTTCATCAAAAAAAATGCACAATTTTCTCATTCAATCTCAGCTTTCATTGATTTTCTCTGCAGAATAAGGAGATTTGTTTTTTTTTGTATACCTATTTTCAAACATGTAAACGTTTTTTCTTGATTTAAAATATATATATATGTTGTGTCCGATTTAGATTTCCGTCCGATTTAGATTACAGTCTATATCGGACGTCCGATTTAGATTTAATCTAAATCTTATATAGATTGAACAATAATATAAACATGTTTAATATATGTTCTTAAGCGTTTTCTGTAGTTTTCTGCATTTTTCAAAGGTCTTTTATTGATTACAGTCTATAGTTGGGTTTTCTTTTCAGAAAAAGACAGTAACAGACCTTTGAAAAATGCAGAAAACTACAGAAAACGCTTAAGAACATATATTAAGCATGTTTATATTATTGTTCAATCTATATAAGATTTAGATTGAATCTAAATCGGACGTCCGATATAGACTGTAATCTAAATCGGACGTCCGCGATAAGTTCAATCTAAATCGGACGAAAATCTAAATCGGACATAACATATATACTTTAAATAAATCTCTCCTTTTTGATCATTGTGAGCAAATTTCTGCATTCAGCTGCTTCTCTGTGTTACAAAGAATGAAAAACGCGTGATTGAAATCTCCTCACTGGGTTCAACAAAATTGTGAATCACAAATACACAGCTTCACACAGAAGAGGGGATTCTTTTTTGGATTCTTTGTTTTTTTTCTCACTGCGAGCACCTCTTGGCCATATGTGGTGAGTTTAAAAATAAAAAGAAAGCAAAGAAATCATTGAATTATAAACAAAAATGTGATTAGAATTGAATACAGTTAAATATTGATTTAACTGGGATTCTCCATCGTTAAATCAAACGTTTTTATAAGGTAAATAGGTTTTAAGGGACCAAAAAACGAGGTTTGACGAGTTAAAACGAGGTTTGACTTTACTTTATAGTACTTTAAATTCCTTTCGAAGTCTAGTTTACCGTATTTCTTCGAATAGAAGGCCGGGTAAAGAGTATCATCGCGTACTCCTGCGTAGCAGCCCTTTTTAAAATTTCTTTTCTGCATAAAAGCTTTCAATGAAGTGCTATAGCGCTGGAAATTGACTCAAAAATACCACATGAGCTAACAGATTTTTGAGCCATTTTCCAGTTCTATAGCACTTGATTGAAAGCTTTTATGCAGAAAAGAAATTTTAAAAAGGGCTGCTACGCAGGAGTACGCGATGATACTCTTTACCCGGCCTTCTATTCGAAGAAATACGGTATTTGAAATGAAGAATCACTTGTTTGAATATTCTGAAATTATAAATCTTATAAGGTAAATAGGTTTTAAGGAACCAAAAAAGAAATTGGCATAGTTAAATCGAGGTTTGACTTTACTTTATAGTACTTTACTGTAGTACTTTAAATTCTTTTCAAATTCTAGTTCATTTGAAATGAAGAATCACTTGTTTGAATATTCTGAAATTATAAATCTTATAACCATATTTCAGATGGGCAAAGGAAACAGCAAACCAGCAAACGAGCAAAAGAAAAAGAAAGCCAATAAGAAATTGTTGCCTGAAGAGATTCGAGAACTCGAGGAAAGGACATATTGTAAGGGCTTAAAGATTTCCATTGATATATTACAATTTAAAACTATATATCAGCTTTTGTATATTATAAAGCTGACAAAATTCTTCTTTCTCCTTTAATCTATGAATCTTTTTAGTTAGCAAGAAAGAGCTGAAAAAGTGGTATAAAGATTTCGTGCGCGATTGTCCAACGGGCGAGCTGAAGATCGATGAATTTCAAGGTAACTTAATAAAATCAATACAAAATTTGTATTACAAGTACTTTTTTGGTTTTTACATGATGATTTTTACAAGTACAGGTACTTTTTTTTGTGTGAACAATTGAAAACAAATAACTTTTAGGTATCTATAAACAATTCTTCCCAAATGGTGATCCATCAAAATTCGCGGCTTTTGTTTTCAATGTTTTCGATGACAATCAAGTAAACAAAAAAAAGCTGTAAAAGTCGAGAATTCTATTTAAGGACGGGCACATTTCATTTAAAGAATTTATCGCTGCTTTATCAATAACATCAAGAGGAACATTAGATGAGAAATTGGATTGTGAGTGGAGAAAAGAAAAACTCAATTAGACAAGGTAAATTTAGGGGCTTTTTCTTTGTATGATGTTGATAAAGATGGTTATATAACGAAAGATGAAATGGCTAATATTGTCGATGCTATTTATTCGATGATTGGGAATATGCTCGAATTACCGAAAGATGAGGTTATTGATAACAAAGAAAAGAAATGCTAAAAATTTTAGGATACCCCACAAAAACGAGTCGAGAAAATCTTCGCCAATATGGATAAGGTTGGGAAATAGCTTTTCATACTAGTCCAACATCCCAAAAAAATTTCCTTTTCAGAACTATGACGGCATGTTGACAAGGGAAGAGTTCAAAGAAGGCTCCAAAGCGGATCCGTGGATCGTCCAAGCGTTGACAATGGATATGAATTCTACTACGGCATAACTTTTACTGAAAATCATCCAAAATCTTACATCGCTTAACCATTTCAAATTTCGTTACTTGTGATACCAAATTGTGCTCTAACGCTTCTCTTGTTCATCGATCTCTATAGCCATCAAAATTAACCTAGAAATAGAATCAAAAATTATATAAAGTATCTCATACAAAGTGTTTATTATTATACTGATATAGCACAAAACTCGGGGTGAAAAATGAAAAGTTAAAAAAGACTTGTCGACCAAGTGCCAACTTTCAACTTTCCATATTTCATATCACACGAAAACATTTTGTAAAAGACTAGGCATGGAAGTGCCAAATGGATATTCGAAAATGGATAGCTGAATGCCAAAAAACAATGACAAATACAAATGAATTTTGTGTGGAAAAATAAATAGAAAAAGATGGTCGAGCAAAAACAAAAAATCACATAAACAATACATGCTCACGCAAAATAAGGCGTGTAAAATTCGTCGAAAGCATGAATAAATTAAAAAAGAAACAAACGTAGATGATAACCGCAAATGAAAAGAGGAAACTTTTGAAGAATAAGAGTGTGAAGAGTGTAATTTTTAGATAGCGGAAGCTTGGCGGCTTCGGGAAAAATGGAAGTATTTGACTTTGACCCCGAAAAAGACGTGCATGGGTTTCAATATGCAACCAATTATTAGAAAATCTGTTTTCAAAAACTTGGCTGAGTATTGTAACTCCTCAAATAAAGCAGCAACGAGAAGGGAAAACTATTGCGACTTTAAAAAGAACACAATAAAGTCGACCCTCGATAACAAAAAAAACCTTCGAGTGCTGATTTTTTGTTAGATTTAAAGCGACTAAATCAATTAACGTCTTTAATATTCTTTATTTTCTGTTATCGATGCTCGATTGTACGTTAATTATGAGCGTAAATGTGGGGGAGTTGCCTAAAAGTGGGAGTTAAATTAACAAGATCCAAGTCAATTCACAACAAATTTCGATAAAAGGGTTAAAAGACTCTCAAAAAACATATGGCTTACTTGACACGAGAAAGGAAATTTTTCAGCACCAGCATGCCCCTTCATCGGTTTGGATTTGACGTTGTTTGATTGGATCCATGTTGACGATTGTTGCTAAAAAGAAAATAATTAGTTGAAATAAATTCTTAACACTTCACTTTTAAAGTTTAATCTACTCAAACACTTTCAATTAATCATTGCATACACATGTGAGTTTCACAACAATAAATTTACAATTAACAAGCAACGCAAGCAAGTTTAGTATTAATTTTTAACTCTTGGTTAGTTGTAGACTTCTTTAATGGCAAGCAAAGCATTATGTAGAAGTCAAACAGAGCAAAACTTGCTTACCATTAAAACTGTCAATTTAAATCAAACAAAACCTTTATTACATCAAAGGCTGGTGAAGTGTGGTTGTGAGTGTTTGCAAAATCTAGCACGAGCATCCAGCTGTTTCGGATTCTTTTTTCACATCATCCTCGAGGTTCACTTTGTGGTCTATAAGGCACGGCACAAATATTGAAAAGAAATGTTTGCTTGCAATTAAAAATGTTAGTTAAAAGTTTAGCAATCAAAAAGTACCTCCTCGAAAGCAGAAAATGGTAACTAAATCGATTAGGTGCAACACAACAAATCGTGCTTGTTAAAACATGCAAATTTAACCTTCAAGTTAACAGTAGTAAACCAACAAAAACTTACTATCGGCCCGCTCATCCTTGTCGATCATTCCGGGGAGAGCCGAGGCAATGCGACGGAAGAGCTAGAAATATAAATGACTGTTTGTAAGTTTTAAAATAAAATAACCTCAGTCATAAAAACTTTTAAGAACTAGACTTTGATTATTCAATAACAGCTTCAGACTTTTTTTAGTCAATTGGCATGTTTCAAGGCACCAAAACATAATAAATCAGAGCATATAACCAACCTGTTTAACATTGTATCCTGCTTTGGCCGACGTTTCGATGAACATCACGTTGAGCTCTTTCGCTTTTCTTTCTCCCTCTTCTGTGGTGACTTGTCTAAAGTTAAAGGCTTGTAAAAATAAAGCTTTATCCTTTTACCGTTTATCAGATAAATCCGTTTTGTTTCCAACCAGCATGATGATCACATCGCTTCCTCTCTCCGTTCGAACATCGTCTATCCATTTTGACGTTTGATGGAATGAGTTTGCATCTAAAATAAAAAAAATGACCGTTGTAATGTATAGTAAAAACTAACAAAATTGATCAACTAGTAATTTACTTCCTTTTTTATTCTTTGAAAACATTGTCAACTTACTTGTAATGTCATAAACGACCACCGCAACCGTTGAGTCTCGAATGTAGGAAGGGATGAGTGATCGGAAACGCTCCTGTCCGGCTGTGTCCCATAATTGCAAACGAACCTAAATAAGGAAAATTTTCAGAGCATTAAGATGAAAACATAATCATTTTAAAAAAGCCTAATTCTTCATCTTGTTATTTATAAAAGTTCAAAAAAAGTGGAAAACTGTAACTCACTGTGCGATCCTCGAGATACATTGTTTTCGACAAGAAATCGATCCCAATCGTCGCTTGATAGGTGTTGTCAAAGCTGTCGTACATGAATCGGGTGATCAACGAGGTTTTTCCCACTAAAATAAAAATATTTAAAATTTTCAAGAAATTTCACAATCACTCACCGCTTTGCTCTCCCAAAAACACTAGCTTGAACTTCTTTAGCGGATTTCCAAAGTCGGAGGCCATCTTCTAAAAAAGAAAAATATTAAAAATATAAAATAAGATACAGAAAACAAAAAAGAATGCAAAGAATCAAGTTTTACAGTTTGAATTTTTTAAAATCTGCGTGCAATAGCGGCCACGCATCCAAATCGATACGGTGCGTAGACACGTCACCAAAAAGGAGAAAAGAGGCGATGAGGGGGAAAGCGCCATGAATTTCACAAACGCCCGTCGTTCGTATCTTTAGCAAAAACGTTCAGTCACAAGAAAATGAATGATTTGTCGTTAGATAAAATTTGAAAAAGTTTAAACAGTTTTAAAAATTTAAAAACAGCCTACATGCTTGCGTTTTTCGCAAAGAAATGACGGGTCAACAAAGGGTGAGAAAGGGTCGTGCGCGTACGCTAGTTAGCCCCGCGGACAATTCAAATAAGAGAGGGAAGGTAAGAAAAGAGGTGAAATAAAAAAATCTGAAATTCTATTGCAAAAACAAAGATTAGTTATTTGAATAATGTTTTAACACCACGAATTGAACATTCACAAAACAAGTAAAGATATTATTTAATTTGGAGGCAAAACTTGCGAATCATTTTGATCCGACTTGATTCACGAGCAAATTTACTGGTACAGTTTTTAACTTTTTATAAGATTTTCTATTTCCCCCAGGTGCGCTTCTTGAAATTGATTCAAAAAATTCTGATAAAACTAAGATTTGGAAGATTTGATTTGCATAAATTACTAAATTTTTTTAGCTGGGTGTAAAATTTTGCCTAACGATTTGTAAAGAATAAAGTTATTACTTCGATAAATCGATGAGCTGCCACATCTTAAAAATGTAAACGTCTCTGGTAGTGAGAGTGAACGGCGATGAACTAGCGACACGAGGGTGAAGCAGCCCCCTTGCTACTTTAATTTCTTAAAGGTGCTACAAAAATTTAACAACCGAAGACGGTGTTAAAACATTTTTCGTTCTCAAATTTTCTATCCTGGTTGTATAAGCTATTTATAAAGTTTACTTCTTTAGATGCGACTACTACAGCCGCTCCGTCTCGTCTCCGGATACAACAACAGTCTTCGATTGATAGCATCAACATCAAAAGATACAAAGTAAATTTGAAGTTTTGATTTGTCACACTATAAGAATCTGGTGTTAAGCGAGGATTTTATGGTTATTTTTAGCTATGTCGACTTACGCGAGGCCCGCTCCATCTACACAACTGAGCCAATCGACCCGAGTGAGAAGAGGTTCGACAAAATCCTCATCGCAAATCGAGGAGAGATCGCTTGTCGAATCATCAAGACCGCTCGTGCTATGGGGATCAAAACCGTGGCCGTGCACTCAGACGTTGATAGCAACTCCCTACATGTGAAGGTAGCTTTAGATCGTTATCATAAGAAGATTAGGAAAGGCGCTCATTTGGGAGCCAAGTGCAAGCGAAGATAGCAAAAACTAAATAGAAACACTAACCCTTTTTTAAATCTTGTCTTTAAATCTTTATAATCTTCATTTATTTTTAGATGGCCGACGAAGCGGTTTGTGTTGGAACAGCCCGAACAGCCGACTCCTACCTCAGAATGGATCGGATTGTCGATGCAGTGCGGCAAACCGGCGCTCAAGCGGTAAAAGGTTTTCAGTTTGTCAAAAATTGAATTTTTTAGGTTCATCCCGGATATGGATTCCTCTCCGAGAACACTCACTTTGCTGCTGAATTGGAGAAGGACGGTGTCGTTTTTATTGGACCAAATTCAAAAGCAATCCTCGACCTCGGCGACAAAATTCACTCAAAGAAGATCGCGGCTAAGGCTGGGGTTCGTCTAGGATGTGTTGGATAGTTTCCATTACTTTTCAGGTTAACATGATTCCCGGATTTGATGGAGAAATCACCGATGAAGATCATTGTGTCAAAGTTTCGAACGATATTGGATACCCCGTGATGATCAAGGCGTCGGCCGGTGGTGGTGGCAAAGGAATGCGTGTTGCTTGGAACGATAAGGTTATTTTGCTTAATATTTATGATTTTGTTTAACGAAATTTAGGAGGCTCGCGAAGGATATCGTCTGTCAAAACAAGAAGCTGCTTCTTCGTTTGCAGATGATCGAATGCTCGTCGAAAAGTTTATTGACAATCCCAGGCATATCGAAGTTCAAGTAAGGATCTTGAGTCACTGCGATTTTAATGGAATATAAGGTTTTATGCGACAAACACGGAAATGGACTTTATTTGAACGAAAGAGAATGCTCGATCCAAAGAAGGAATCAAAAGGTAAAATTTTCACGATACCTTTAATAAGCCGGTGTTTAGGTCATTGAAGAGGCGCCTTCTTCATTTGTTCCACCGGAGATGCGACGAAAAATGGGAGAACAAAGTTTGTTGAAAGTGCGTTCGAAAATTCTCTGTTTTAGCTGTTCAATTGGCTAACGCCGTTGGATATGATAGTGCCGGAACAGTGGAATGGCTCGTCGATTCAAAGCGCAACTTCTATTTCCTTGAGATGAATACCCGTTTGCAGGTTTGATTGTTATTAATGATTACCTACTCTAGCTGAATATTAAGGTGGAGCACCCAATCACTGAGTGCATCACCGGAATCGATCTTGTTCAACAAATGATTCGAGTCGCTTATGGACACAAGCTAAAGATTTCGCAGGATCAGGTTCATTGTTTACTCGTGGATTTATTATTGGTTTTTCTTTAGGTTCCGATCAATGGTTGGGCATTCGAAAGTCGAGTCTACGCCGAGGATCCGTACAAAGGATTTGGTCTACCATCAGTTGGTCGCCTGCATCGCTACGTCGAGCCATATGGTGAAGGTGTTAGATGTGATTCAGGTAAATAGCAACTTGATATACAAAACTGTCAAGTTTTTTAGGAATCCGTGAGGGCTCAGAAATTTCAATTTACTACGACCCACTGATTTGCAAGCTAGTCACACATGGAAAGAATCGCAAAGAGGTAAATATTTAATTGGGTAATTGTTTAATTTAGCCAGAGTTTTAGGCCTTGGATCGTATGCGAGACGCACTTGACACTTATGTGATCCGTGGCGTAACGAACAACATTTCTTTGCTTCGAGACATTGTTGAGGTTAGTTAATACAATCTTTTTAAGATTTAGTTTTGTGTTACCGTGCTTGGATTGGATGATCTGATTTTTTAGGAAAAACGCTTTCGAGAAGGTGACATCTCGACAAAGTACCTTCCTCAAACGTACCCAGATGGATTCCAGGGTGCACAACTCAATGAACAAGAAAAAGATCTAGTTTGTTTGTCATAGTTATAAAACTAAATTTATTTAGGTGATTGCCATTGCTTCAGCCCTCCACACCCGTAAAATCGCCAGAGCCAAGCAATTCACTAATCAGGTAAATGATAAATAATATGCTTTAAAAACGTTTTCGTTAGACGCGCCAACGTTCCACTCACGTCGACCCATATTCGTCCAAATACAAATACGTGGTCGAGTGGCCTACTCATGAGGGAGCACCAAAGAAGATGCATCAAGTGGAGATCTACTTTGATCAAGGAGACGAATCTAAAGTCAAGGTACAATTTGTTTGGATATTAAAATAGCTTAATAACCAGGTGAAAGTTGATGGTCGTGCCGTGAAAGTTGGTGGCAAGATGAATCTCGCGCAATCGTCACTTACTCTGGACGTGAATGGAGAACAAATCACTACGCAAATCGTTTCGAAAAGGGCCGGTGAGATTACAATTCTCTTCAAGGGAACGCCATTTAAGGTAAGTGTGCTGGTTTTATAAAGTTATACGGTGTTTTTTAGATAAAAGTAATGCCCGAGCAAGCATCAGACTACTTGAAGCACATGAAGGAAAGGCCGAAACTTGACTTGTCGACTGTGGTGATGTCACCTATGCCTGGTGCCATTAAGGTAATTATTAAATTGCGTTTTTTAATTTGACCACTTTTAGAATGTTTCTGTAAAAGTCGGTGATATGGTTAGCGAAGGCCAAGAGTTGATCGTCATGGAGGCTATGAAGATGCAAAATTCTCTTCACGCTGGGAAAACTGGCAAGGTAAAAAGGTTTTAATTTTCTCATTTAACTTAGTTAAGTTAAATGAGAAATATAACTTAAACATTCTAATATTTTTGAAACAAAAAACCATTTGATTTCTTGCAGGTGAAAGCAGTTAATGTGAAAGTCGGTGACACGGTGGATGAGGCTGTGGTACTCGTCGAATTAGAATAAGACTTTTTTCATTTGCACTCAGGATGTTTATGTATAATATCAACTTTATAGAAATCCTCGTCTTTTACTGATTGTTAATTTTTGAGTTCTAAGCATTCCCACAAGAGCTGAACATAAGAGTTATATTTTTGTTGTTGTAGGGTAACTTCTTTGTGCAGGTATTTTAGGTGCATTTTTGTGATTTTCTATTTTTGATAAGTGATTAGTTTTGTATGAAATAAATTTATTTAAGCAAGGATTTCAGATTGTTGAAGATTTGCGCGATTTAATCGAAATGACGTAGAGGGGTGGTATGTTGGGTAAAGAACCCTTTGCAGGTTTAGATTTTCTTTGTACAGGTATGTTTTTGCTCCATAGCTTTGGAAGAAAATCGATTTATTCATATATTCATAGAATTCAGATAACAATAAACGATAAGAACTGTGAAAAAAATGATTTGGTCTAAAGTGAGAATTTAGAGTTACTACTGAAATCGTCTGATTAGACAACGGCAAATTTAGAGCAAGAGACTTTAAAGTTATTCAAATTCGATTGTTAAATGACGAGAAGGCTAGCGAGTGGGCAATTTGTTTGACCTGGAAATTTTGGCGTACTTTGATGGGAGGATACCGTAAAGGCACTACGGTAACTACAGTGTGTGGGGGATTGCTGTAGGCTAAATATTTTCATTCCCACATAACGTAGTGGGATAGAATTTCTAGTAATATTAGCAGTATTCCTACTGTTTGCCATTCTACCTGAGCATGGATATTCTCCAATGTTTCACTTCTCTCGTGATCATTGTGCAGATCATTCAAAATATCGCTGATCAATTTGCGAAGACTTTCGATGCCATAGTATTGGGCTTCTCGCTGAAATTGTCTTATGAGCAAAAGCATTTGGTTTTTTTCTTTTTCATACTTCATTCATCTTCTTTACCTGAATCTGTCGAAGTAAACCCTGATCTTTGGGCAACACCGCCTGCCTCCCGTCTCTCATATATTGCAAAATATAAGCAAATAAGCTCCCGTCTCGATTTATAAAAATCGCTCCCGTTCCATCGTCCTAAATTTTTTTTTTGATTCAACAATTCAACTAGCAGATTAGGCTCACAATAATATGTGAGTTGAATCGAACGACTTTCCCACTTCTTGCATCGATTCTAAAATTAGAATTTAGAAAATTTTAGATTTGAAAATGAATGTATGTATCTGCTAAACACTCACTTGCAGTAGTGATTAAAGAAAGTCGATTGCACTCGAGCTATCGTCTCATAAAGAGTCGTGTATCGAGTACCGCCCACATTCAGATGTAACAATTCGGAGGCATGATGAAGCGTGTAGCTCACCGGATCTGCGAGCTGTCAAGAGATTTTTTGAAGATAATGTTTTTAGTTCAAGTCAACATTGTTATACAAATATAAACAATTGCCTAAGTTGACAAAATTCTTCTTTAAAGTACAAGTACAAAAAAAGTGTTACCTCGGATGTCTCGAATCGGAAATCTCGGAGATCTCGAGAATCTCGCGAGATACGAGAGTGATGTGTGTTCAATGTATTTAACTGTTGTGATTGATGATTTTGATGTTGGTGATGGGTTTGAGGAGAAGGACGAGATCTTTCTTGAGATCTGTGCGGTCTTGACATCCTGGAATTTGAATGGAAAATGGAAACTATTGAATTGAACAGGATTCAATAAGGGATTGAGAAAACGAAAAATGGTCAAATCTGATACCCTTAACCCCTTTTGGAGTGAAGGCAACCAAGCGTCTCGTGGTGTAATGGTTAGCACGTTCACCTGGTAGGCGGAAGGCCCCGGGTTCGAGTCCAGGTGGCTCCTGCTCTTTTGATCTGCCCTAGTTTCAACTATACTTTTAAAGATATTCCCTGTACAATTGAACTTCAATTGAACAATTAAATTTCAATTGTTCAATCGAACAATTCAAATGATTTCAATTTTCAATTCAATTTTAATTGATTGAACATTTGGAAATAAAAAGCAACCCGATTAAACAATAAGTGGATCACAAAGGACTCAATTGTATTTCAAAAGTTAAACTTGAAAGAATAGTGATAGTATTCTGAAATGAATTAGAAGACCAGAATTGACCTTTGAACCTCTTCAAAAAAAGGCCAAAGAAGTAATCAATATCACTCAGTATTTCAAACAAAACCAATAGACAAGTTTTCCTAATCAAGCCTTTTAACACTTAAAATTCAAATGAATCATTCAAACTAAAATTTAAGCCCCATGATTCGACAAAAGCATAGAATTTACACATTCAATGATGAGCCAACACCGAAAAACGCCCATGAATAATTGCTTGATAACAAAAAGGAAAAAAGTAATATAAAAAACGGGGTAAACTATTCAATAGTAGGCGACGAGAAGTCGGTTTGTAAAGATGGGGATGGTTTTAGAAGAGAAAAGAAGGAATGATAAGACCTGCTTCGACTCATAAAGCTAGCTATTCGTGCAGTCTTTCCCCCCTTTCCCTAGCCTCTTCACTCATAAGAAAGCAACAAATCGAAGTAAATAGTCCGAGAATTTTCACTTGATAAGCATTCTTTCAGCTTAATAGGCTTCATTCAATGAAAACTTATTGCGAGTGAGGCGAGGTGAGGTGGGGAAATGGCATTCATAAGCAAATAATGTTTTAGGTGTCATTACTATAGTCGACTCTTTCTAGAACTGCATAAAGGAATGAAATTTTGGTATCGGTTGATGCTAAGCTATAAAGAAATGGAATTTTAATCCCTTCAATTCCGTTATAGAGAGAGTTTTCAACTGTATTTGTATTTAAAAGGATATAAACTGGATTTGAACTGTAGATAGATTGTATTTGAGAAGTTTTTCATAGTGGTATCTTTTAGAAAAGCTTCGCATGAGCTTCGCATGAGCTTCGCATGAGCTTCGCATGAGCTTCGCATGAGCTTCGCATGAGCTTCGCATGAGCTTCGCATGAGCTTCGCATGAGCTTCGCATGAGCTTCGCATGAGCTTCGCATGAGCTTCGCATGAGCTTCGCATGAGCTTCGCATGAGCTTCGCATGAGCTTCGCATGAGCTTCGCATGAGCTTCGCATGAGCTTCGCATGAGCTTCGCATGAGCTTCGCATGAGCTTCGCATGAGCTTCGCATGAGCTTCTGATTGCTTCAGATTTTCATCAGAATTTTTTAGAGTTTTACAAAGTAAAGCTCTTTTCAAATGATTTACAAAAATCTAAAAGAGAAAGAAAATTTAAATTGATCTCTAATTCTTCTTGGCAAAAAATACGCTTTCTCATCTGAATGAAATGACACAAAAACTAGCAAACAAGCAAACAAATGACGATACGAATTTGCAGACAAAAAAAAACCCTATCAACATCGAAAAAGCCTATCAAAATTCAAAAAAATCTGAACAAATTGTAAATTTGGAGGAAATATTTCTGAGATCTTCTTGTCGGCTTATCAATTTTTTGCTTAAAATGAAAAAAAAACGCACTTGGGGGAGTGGCTTTATCACGGTGCCGGAAGCCGCAGAACGAGCGGAATTTATTGATCTTTTGAGACAATTTTGAGTCTGCTAGGTAAAAATGGGCTCTTGAATAAAGGATCTTTCGATGAATGTGTTTAGATTGATCATCTCGTACTTCAAGTTTTGATGGCATCGCTTTGAGTAACGATGCTACTAAATATGTGTATAGAGTGGTCCAAAAACACTCGATATTCAGCTAACTATAAGTTTAAAATAGTAAACAACTGATAAAAAAACAATTTCTTATTTAAATCAATCAAGCTCAAAGTGGGAGCGTTAATGAAAGCTTTGAGTTGTTTCGGGAACGCATTGACTGTGGCTGTAGGCTGTATCCAACTCATCAACTTTCATCAACGATTTCTTCAAGAAATTGTTGTTTTTGTGCGGCTTTGAGCAAGCTTTTGCTTTCAAAAAACTAATCAAGAATAATCAAGAGGTTAAGACCAGGAAAGCTTGGTGGCCACTCGGAAAACTTGATAAATTCGGAGAGATTGTTCTCACACCAATCCTGAACTTTGCAAGCTTTGTGCAGGCGCATTGTCTTGCTGAAACGCTCAATGACGTGCCCCAAAGTGAATTTGATCATAGAAATAAATCGTTTTTGAGAACATTCAAATAAACGTCCTGATCGAACTTAACACCAACAAAACAAGTGTCATTTTTCTATCTGATTTCACAGTTCACAAACCATAACCGATTGTGGATGAGAAACTCGATGAGTTCGAGAATTTGATTTAATTTTTGAATAAATGAGATGCTTGTTAAGATACTCTTCAACAGTAAATATCTTTTCATCACTGAACACGACATGAAGATGCCGGTTGTTTCTGAAACGTCTCAGTCTTTTGAGTGTGCTAATCGTTTAGCTTGTGTAGCCAGTAACAACAATTGGTCCTTGTTCTGCTTTTAGGCGTTCAATTTAAGGTCATCAACAATGATTCTTCGAGGAGAAGATCGAGAGAAGCCAATCCCTTTCGCCACGGAACGACGACCGCTTTTACGGATCTTGATCTTTTTTTCGTGTCCTTAGTTCTGGCTGTGCGCTTTCGATCTCTTCCAATTCGATCCTCATTTGTTCCCAAGACTTTAAACCTTTGAATCATTCAATAAACAATGGTCTTGTTGATCTTCGGTCGCTTGGCGATGTCGGTCACCGATGTCAGTCGCCGATGTCAGTCCGCGATGTCGGTCGCCGATGTCGGTCACCGATGTCAGTCTCCGATGTTCTACTTTTGTGCAAGACTATGATCGAATCGCAATGAACAGATTTCTTGACCATTTCTAAAATTAGCAAAGCTTTTGAGTAATAATATAAAATACAATCAAATAACGAAAAAAAACAGAAAAAAGGCGGTAAAGCTGTTAGTAAAATCAGTAAATTCTTCCTGTGAGTACATGGAAAGGTTAAACAAATCATAGAGCACAGTGTCGCTCGTTTAAACAAAAAAAATCCAGTCCTTGTGAGCTGTTTGAGATATGACTATCTACTATATATAATTGAGGACTGTCTGTCCGTCCGTGGACAGACAACTATAAAGGGAACTAAATAGGAACTATAAAGGATCTAAATAGGAACTATAAAGGAACTATTGATTACGAATATTTAAAAAAAAGAAATAGACAAAAAGCTTTCAAAACAAAAAAGATATAAGCACGCAAAAAGAAGTCCGGATAATTATGCATCAACCCAATATGAAGGAAAATTTTTCGAGGCGTCGAGGACCGAGTGTGGCCGAGGGGGTAGCGCGCCGGTCTCCAGATCTGGGGATCGTGGGTTCGGATCCAGACCACGAGATATTGCTTTGCTTTTTTGTTATTCAATGAAAGAAGTTGCCTTTGCTATGAATTATATTATTGTGAAGTGTTTGTCTGTCAGAAAAAAAATCAGGGAATGGGTTTTTCAGGCTGGAAATTGATATCCGAGGGTTTCGACTATGCTGATGCCGAATCTGAAATCAGATTCGAGGCAAATTGACAAACAGGTTTGGCCAAGGCATCTTAAAAGATTGAAACATGCTTTTAAGAGTTATGCCATAAGTATTGAAGTCACATAGTCACTACTCAGGGCTCGGCTCCAGTTCACTCATTTGTGCTATATTTTTGGATAGGACAATTTCTCCATGCGACCGCGTAGCGGATGCCCAGCTGGTTCTCAATATTTTATTTCGATCTTAAAAGATTGAAACATGCTTTTAAGAGTTATGCCATAAGTATTGAAGTTAAATAACAGAATTTCTTTATAATTTTGATTCACTTTTCGTTGTATTAAACAATTTTCCATATTTCCATTTTCTGCTACTTTCCAAATCCTAATCGACCACTGTCAGGAAAACACTCAAATCTCGGAGGCAGTTGGTGTGAAGAGATCCCTTCTCTACTAGGGTCTTTGCCCATAATCGTGTTCTCCAGCCTCAGCCTCCTTTTCCCTCAACTGTAATTGGTTTACACGGTTGTGTGGCCCTCTATTTCAACTTTTCTTTTCTCTTTTCACCGTTGAGACCCTTGTTCTTCCTCTCTTTCTACCTCTCTTTCTTCTTCTCTTTCCTCCTCTCTTTCTTCTTCTCTTTCTTCTTCTCTTTCTTCTTCTCTTTCTCCCTCTCTTTCTTCTTCTCTTTCTTCCTCTCTTTCTTCTTCTCTTTCTTTTCCTTCCCCCCACCGATTTCCATAACTCACTTTTCACTCCCATCTTAAACCCTATTCAGGATAGGTGCAAGACTTTCCCCTATCGAATCATAAAGTTTGAAAAGCTGAAAAGGAAAATGAATAAAGATTTTGAATTCTGATATTCATATTTGAAGTTTAGAAGTTTTTCTAAAAGCCTTTAAAACCGAGTTATCGTCAAAATTCAGAGATGAATTTATATTTATGTGGAGTAGTGTAGACTAGGAATCCTTTTGAGCTTTTCACACCCAATCCTACTTTACATCTAATGATGCTCTATTGTTCGATGAGATAAAAGAGAGGCCACGGAATCTATCACCAGTCAAAAAAAGAGATAAACATACTGTTTTTTATATCATTCTTGTTCTGCTAATACAGAAAATTTGAGAAGTTCTCTGTTTTATTGAGACGATGACAGACGGGGAGTGGATTGGATAATTGGAAGCACTTTGATTCCCACGGGAATGTTTGAAAAGAGGAAAGGGGCAAGAATGGAAAGATGGCTTGACTTGTAGCAAGATATAAAGTTATAAAGTCATTTTAAGAACAAAATAGTAGATCTAGATCAAATAGCCTTATTGTTGAAGTTAATCGATAAATTTATCAAGCTATCAAGCTATACTATCAAGCCTACTATCAGCTGATCACTAAGCGTTATTTTATCTAATTGACTATGCTATATCTGCCAAATATCATCATGTTTAAGATACTCAACTTGAGTTTTGAAGTCATAAACTAGAACTTTCTATTGCTTGAAATTAATTAAAGCTTGAAAGTTGAGTTGTTTATTATAAAATGCTATTACAGTGCTTGAACTAGATGAACTACAAGCAGAACTATTACTTGAACTATTAGAGATTCTAGAGAGATAGACATTCTAGAAAGAAGATCTTTCTTCAAGCCATCATAGGCTTCTAACAGGATGTGGGCGGTCGCAAGAGGCTTTGAGAGAGATGGGGATACGGTGGCCCTTTAGAGGCTTTATCCCACCAAACCCTTGTGCTAGCTTCCCCTCGTTATCCACCAATTCATCCATCCTCCCGATTCGACGCACTTCAAATGGAGGTCGCTTTTTCTTCTAGTCAGGATTTCGACGTCACCCCTTTTGCGATGTCCGAATTCAGAGGTGAACTCAATTGTGAGATGAATGCCGAGCGTTTTCCCGCATCTCCACCCCCGACAACTCCCGACACAGCAATCAAGGTGGGGAAAGAAGGCTGCCACATTTTTCACAATCACCAGCCGCCAAAAGTTATTCAATCAGCGCAACACGGCCATATTTAGGGGAATCAGTTGCGCTTTTCTTGAAGACAAAAATGTTTTTAGTACTTACAACAAGTTAAAAGTTATTTAAAGCAAGTTTTCAGTACTAGTTATTCATTTAGATTTAGTTAAAATCATTCATTTGTGTTTTAGAAACGATTCTAACGATTCTAAAGATTCTAAAGATTCTAAAGATTCTAACGATTCTAACATTCTAACAATTCTAACGATTCTAACGGTTCTAACAATTCTAATGATTCTAAAGATTCTAACAATTCTAACGATTCTAAAGATTCTAACAATTCTAAAGATTCTAACAATTCTAACAATTCTAATGATTCTAACGATTCTAACGATTCTAAAGATTCTAAAGATTCTAGAGATTCTAACGATTCTAACGATTCTAAAGATTCTAAAGATTCTAACAACTCTAAAGATTCTAACGATTCTAACGATTTTAACGATTCAATTCTAAAAAGTCTTGCATAAAAACTGATTTACTTGCGGCTTTTTTAAAACTTTAAAATGTTATCAAATGAAATTTTCAGTCTCAACCACCATTTGGGATTTGCGCGATTTGCGAAAGTTCAATCGTCGATCCAACGCTTCTCTCTGCAAATGGAGCCTCTTTTCATCTTTGTTGTTTAAGGTTTTAGACTTTAAACTTTAAATATAATAATCAATTATCAACTTTTTAGATGTGCTGGCTGTGAGAGTTCACTTGAAAGCTCGCACTCGTGCTATTTTCGAGATGGTGCTCCATTTTGCAAGACATGTTATGCGAGGTTTGAAAAGCTTTCATCAAAACATTAAAAACATTTTTGTGATTTGCATTAGTTTCATTTTTGTCAATTCTTTAAGAAGAAGATTTTTAACTTTAAGACTTTACTTTAAGACTTTACTTGAAGACTTTACTTTAAAGCTTTACTTTAAGACTTTATTTTAAAGCTTTACTTTAAGACTTTTAACTTTTAAGACCTTTAAGACTAAGAATTAAGAGAAGACTTTAAGAAGAAGTTAGCTTAATATATTAATTTCTTGTAATCTTGACTTTAGTTTTTATCTAGAATCTTTATAAACTAAAGTATAGGTGAGCAAGGTTACGGTAAGACAGAGATTTCGTTCTTTATGGTTCTAGAGAAATCTTAGCGCCAGCCGTGATCTCAATTTCTTACCACAATTAAGTCAAGAGTCTCTTTCGTATTTCTACTTATTTCCAGTGTTATTCTATTGTGGCTGGTTAGTATTGAAGAAAGGAAAAGAGGAAGGATCCCATCTGTGCAGGTGTTTTGCGCAATCTTCTCCCATCTACCATCCAAAGCCTTTCCCCTTAGCCTCTTTATTCTTCAATTGCTCGTTAGCTAGATCTTTCTCTCAATTGTGGGTTGTATCAATGTTGAGCTAGGATTGAGCTAGATTTTGATGTAATAATGTAGATTATCTTTAGACATGGATATTCTAGCGATTTGTTATGTTTGAAAAAGAGTAAGGAGAACTCTGCGATTGAATTGAATTCGAGAAAAACATTAGTGATAACTAAATGTTTTGAATAGCTAGATGCTTTACAATAGAAACAGAAATAGAAACATACCGTAAATACTGTGTACCCCATTCCCCATCGTACAGTCGCGTAGTCGCAAAAGTTTTTTAGTATTTCATTTTTTTCAAAGCGTCCGTACTTTCAAAAAATGCGTCTTTGGTATCAAAAAATAGCCCTCAATTTCAGCTATTTTTTGATAACTAAGCGCTCATTGCAGCATAAACCAGTGTCGAGAAAAACGCTGTCAAAGCTAGACTACATAACACTCCGCACCATCATTATGAGGGTGCGGTACTATTACAGTATTTACAGTAACCTTTCTAGAGCTGGAGATCAAAACAAATAATGATCTTTCTGAAGATGAAAGAAATGAAGAGCTCTAGAAAGCTCTAGCTTTTTTTTTGCTCGATTCCAAGTCAACTCCAAAATAAGTGTAAAAGAACTTTATAAGAATGAGATTTAAGAATAAAGTACACTAGAAGAAACCTAGAATATCGTCCTAGTAAGAAATGATTTCGTTTTATGCACAAAAACTGATCAAATGCCGAATTTCATTTGTAAATCAGACTTCAATGTTCTTATCGTCATCTCTAGTCTTGAGTCAATTAAGCCTTTCAAAAAAACAGCTGCTGATTCCTTGATCCCATTGTCATTTCATCGTACATATCCCTAACAGATTTCCACTTGTAACCTCAAAGCCTCGGCAGGGCTGAAAGAGAAAAGTCGATGACTCCTTGAGGGAACATTTCTCTTCTTCTCCAGCTGGTCTCATCCCTTCTACTCCTTTCAAGTAAAATCTCCTCGCCTCTCTTCTCATAATTGACTCAAATTTGTTCTGCATAAGTCTCTCTTTCTTTTTCTTTCTTCAATTTGTCTTGAGTTGATTTGTCTTGAGTCGTTTAACCACTTAACACTCTAGTTTTAGGATTGGATAACTATTTCAAATATTTAATAAACTAAAAAGAACAAATGTATGATAAGAAATAGTAAATATTGAATTTAAATATAGAAATCTAATAATAAAGTTAGATAATAATGATGTAAAAATAAAAAAAAAAGCATTTATAAACATTATTAACCATTCTTAATCATTTAATCATCATTTAATCAAAATATTCTTTAAATTATTAAAATTTAGTAAAAATTCTTAGTAGTTAAATCATTATAAAAGATAAAATTTAAATAAATCATCAATTTTCTCTTTTCTCAGAAGATTCGGTGCCAAATGTTCGTCCTGTGATCGAAGCATTCAGTCAACGGATTGGGTTCGTCGAGCTCGCTCTTTTGTCTATCATCTCGCTTGTTTTATTTGTGATCAATGTCATGTGAGTTTATTAAAAAACCAAAACAAAACAAAGATAAATGAATTTGAAATCAAAATTTTAGAGACAATTGTCAACTGGTGAAGAGTTCGCTCTCACAAATAATCGAATCCTTTGCAAGCAACATTTCATGGAGTTAATTGATGGGGATTCAGGTTTGAAGTTAAATTTTGGTTCTATAAGCTTTATTAGCTTTATAGGCTTTATAGGCTTTATTGGCTTTATAGGCTTTATTTACCGTATTTTCTCTAATAGTAGTGCACCCAGAGCGTCGCCTAAATTCCTCAAAATCTCGAAAACCGCTTATCAGAACCTATCGATGTGGGGTCGGAAAATGTAGCTGACGATCAGATCTAGTGGGGGATTTGAGTGTTGAGCTTCTGGGGAAACTTTGAAAGCCGTAAAATAGTCATCAACTCGGCTCGCTTGGGTGCACTACTATTAGAGAAAATACGGTAACTCTTTTCCAATAGTTCCATTGAATTGCCCGAATTTGGAATCGACTCCCCAGAGTTTTGAGAGAGTCCAATAGGCTCGAAACGTTTAAATTCTCTATAGATGATGTTGATCTTGAAGCTCTAGTGGATTCTTGACATTATCTGTGTTACCCATATATTACATACATTATATCGTTGTTTTGAGTGTTGAGCTTCTGGGAAAAATTGGAAACCGTAAAATAGTCATCAACTCGGCTCTTCGGGGTCAACTATTAGAGAAAATACGGTATTCTAATCATTCAATAGCCCTGAATCTCTTCTTGAAAACTAGATAAACTAAACTACTGTATTCTCTCTAATAGTAGTGCACCCTGAGCGTCGCCTAAATTCCTCGAAATCTCGAGAACCGCTTATCAGAACCTATCGATGTGTGGTCGGAAAATGTAGCTGACGATGAGATCTTGCAGGGGATTTGAGTGTTGAGCTTCTGTGAAAACTTTGAAGGCCATAAAATAGTCATCAACTCCGCTCGCTTGGGTGCAATACTATTAGAGAAAATATGGTAGCTCTTTTTTTCGTTAATTCTATTTTAGGAACAGTTATTTTACAGGAAATGGTCAACCAAAGCAGAAAACGAAACGAGTGAGGACTACTTTTGCTGAAGAACAGCTTAGTGTGCTACAAGTGAGTGTTTCTAGAAATTTGAATTAAGAATTGACTCACTCATTCAATCAATTCATTTTCTAGACTCATTTCCAAATCGACAGCAATCCAGATGGAGCTGATTTAGAGAGAATAGCTAATATGACTGGATTAAGCAAAAGAGTCACTCAAGTTTGGTTTCAGGTAAATAATAGAAATTGCAATTAAAGTTTTGATGAGTTTTTAGAACTCTCGAGCTCGTCAAAAGAAGTATCAAGGGAATAAAAAGGCGAGAAGTCAGGTAAGTAAATCTATTCTTTACAATTTCTTTTAAACTTTTTCATAAAGAATACTTTACTAAGTTTTTTACAGCTTAAACTATTAAAAAAGAATAATTTATCTAGAAAGCTTTGAAAGAAAGCTTAAACTTAGCTTTAAACTAGCTGAACGAATCGTTTTTAAATTTTACAGACTTATATATAGATACTTTATTCAGGACCTGAAATAAAGTGCGCTAGATTTAAGATTAAAACACATGAATTCATACACATAACACAAAAAGGGCCGATAAAAAGAAACACGATATAATATATGTAAAATGTGGGTAGCACAGATAACGCCAAGGATCCACTAGAGCTTCAAGATCAAGATCATCTACAGATAAAGCAATATATGGGTAGCACAGATAACGTCAAGGATCCACTAGAGCTTCAAGATCAAGAACATCTACAGATAATTTAAAGGTTATGCAATCAAATAAGCTTTATCTTTTTTATTTTAAGACCAAAATAAGTTTGTATTGAAGAAACTGTTTAAATTTCGACTTTTCGATAGCATTGATTCAGTTTTGAGTATTCGCCTTTGTGCATTTGAAAAGTTACATAAAAAATGACTTTCAAGAATTTCTCAAAAGCCATTTTGTAGAGAAATAACCAACCTTTTTAATAGTTTAAATAGAAATTTTGTTAGTTTCGGTATTATTTTTAAATAACGTAAATACTACAATTAGATTTTTATGGCTCTGGTATTAACAGTTGATCTAATAATTGTTATGGATTAAATAAGATAAATTTTAGCATATTATAGTGTTATGAAAGTATTACAATTCTTATAGGGATCAGCGAGTAAGGGATCACGATCATCAGAGGAGAGAAGCAGTCCATGCAAGAGTCCGCATGGGAGTGAAGATGATGGAATGTTATTTCCCACGTCAGTCACTACAAGGTGAGAATGAGCACGTTACAATGGTTGGAATAGAGTCAGAGAGTCAACTAAGTAGAGTAACTTTCAAATCTATAAGCTGAAGAGGAGCTGAAGAGGAGCTGAAGAGGAGCTGAAGAGCAGCTGAAGAGAAGCTGAAGAGAAGCTGAAGAGAAGCTGAAGAGGAGCTGAAGAGGAGCTGAAGAGCAGCTGAAGAGGAGCTGAAGAGCAGCTGAAGAGGAGCTGAAGATCAGCTGAAGAGGAGCTGAAGAGGAGCTGATGATCAGCTGGAGAGGAGCTGAAGATCAGCTGAAGAGCAGCTGAAGAGGAGCTGAAGAGGAGCTGAAGAGCAGCTGAAGAGCAGCTGAAGAGCTCTTTGAAGAGGTTTCCAATCGTAGCTCATTAGCTTATACGAAATCTCGCCTTGTTGTTAATCAAACAATGACTATAAAAACTGTTATTGATCAAGTTATACTAGAAAGAAAGAAATTTAATTCATGAATTAAACTCTAAGCCATTTCAGTGCCGAAGAAGCGATGCTACCCGATTCCTCGCTCGGTCTCGGCCTTCACACTTTACAATATGATGCATTATAATTCAAAAACAATTCCTTTTCTTTTCCATTTTTCTCTTGATCTCAACTCTACGGTTTCCCTGTGATACTCGCTTGCCACAAATTTGCATTTCAAAAGTGAAAAGTTGTGTTTATTCTTGTCATACGCTTGAGTAAATAATAAATAATATAATTTATTCTGACTTGGCTCTTTATTAGCGCAGATCCTAACTCATACATCCTATCACAGCACATTACATTTTCTCACAAATCAATTTCCGTATTGCTCTCTTGCGATGGACATCCAGAGTCGTCGATCTTGGTTGGTTCCAGATCGAAGTCGCATTCTCGTTTGGATTTGTGTTGGCAGTAGCTGGATCCTCGGTAACTTGTCTCTGAGTGTTGCTTCGACTCTTGTGCTTCATCTTGTTGTTAGTCTTGCAGTGGGTCTCTTTTGGTCACGTGGCATTCATTCTGTTATCCTTGTCGCTTGAGTATCAAATAATAAAGTTGTTTTTTTTGTAAAATACAAGAATAAACAAACAAAAATTAGCATGTTTTGATTTGTATTCAAAGAAGAGTTGCGCTTTAAAGGATTTCTAAACCGAATCGCAACCGCTCAAGATTTCCCAGCTTTACTGGAATTTAGTAGAGCTGGGAAATCTGTTGGCTTTGAAAATCTGGAAATTTCCATAGAATCTGCCTGTTAGAGTTGTAAAAATTGCTTGTTTTTCAAAAATTTAAACTTTAGTCTATTTTTTTGTAAAGTAAAACGGGTCAACGATTGAAAGCACGCTTTTTCTTTGCATTTTTTTTGTTCAAATCGATAAGCCAATCACTTGGCAGCCTTTCCACGTTTTTTTTCCCTTTATTTCCTTTATTTCCTTTTCCTTTTCTCTTCTTTAAACCAATCCTTTCCCCATCGCCCTTTTCTAGCTGCACTTTGTACTCTCAAACACCAAACTATTAAATGTTAATTCGAATCCTTCAACTCTATGTCTTGATCAAAACGATTTCCATCGAATGTCTCATTTCGAGTCTGAAATTTTTCATTCCAATCGGCTGGTACCCAAGAAAAAGGATACAGGGTCAGGTAGCTTTTTGATTGTAATTGTAATTGTTAAAAATCAATAATAGGCAGGAATTAGTTATAGTTAGTAAGTAATAAGTAGTAATTAATATGTAATAAGTTATAGAAATCAATAATAGGTGATAAGTAATAAGTAGTAAGTAGTAAGTAATAAATAATAAAAATCAATAATAGGCAGTGATTAGTAATAGGTAATAAGTAATAAGTAATACTAGGTTGGTGTAAATGAAATTTCGTTTTTTTACAAACATTAAAGTCATCCAAAATTTTTTTTAATAACAATTTATTTAAAACAATAAGCACCATTATTATCTATGACATCCCTCCAACGTTGCTACAGATTGCGGATCCCCTTCTCAAAGAACGCTTGATTCTGTGATGCAAAGTAGTTGGTCACCCAATTTTCGACTTCTTTTGCATTCTTAAACTGGCAATTCTCAAGGGAATGTTGCATCGATCTGAAAAGGTGAAAATCGGAGGGTGCTAAGTCTGGACTATACGGCGCATGTGGTAAGACCTTCCATCCTAGCTTCTCTAGTTCCTTACAAGAGGTTTTTGCCGTGTGAGCTGGAGCATTATCACGGAGAAAGTTGATAGTTGAGGGATTTAGGCCTTTTTCACGCAAAATTTCGTCAACCTTCTTGAGTTGTTGAATAAAATAAGATGAATCGACTGTTTTTCCGGGCTCTAATAATTCAAAATGAACAAGTCCATTGATATTCCACCAGCAAGACAACATCACTTTGCGCCCATGATAATCCGGCTTTGGAGTTGGAATTGGCGCTTGACCTTTGCTCAGCCATTGTCTTTTTCGAGAAGTATTATCAAAGTGAATCCACTTCTCATCCATCGTCAAGATATTCTCAAAAAAAATGGCTTCTTTTCGACTTCTGGAGCAAGATATGGCTGATCGGAACGCGTGCTCCCAGATTCTCAACACTCAATTGATGTGGAACCCATTGTCCATTACGATTTGTCTTTCCAATTATTTCCAAATGGCGTACAATTGTTGAATTGGAGATGTTTGGCAAGTTCTCGTGTTGTTTGCATTGGATCAGCTTCAATTCATTGTTGTCGATGGCTGTGGCACGATGTCCATGCGATTCGTCTTCAAGGGATTCATTACCATCTCGGAATTGGGCAAACCAGAGCTGGCATGATCTTTCGGTGATAACCTGTTCTCCAAAGGCGGAACAGAGATCACGATGTGAATCAGCAGCGTTTTTGCCCATTTTGAAGTCATAGAGAAGACACGTGCGCAGAACATACTTTTGATCCACCATGATCTAAAGCAAAAATCAATTAAAAAGTGAAAGCTCTGACTTTGAAAAAATGCGAAAATAAAGTAAATATCCAAGAGTACAAATGCACAAAAGAACATCAAATAAGCTCTTCAGATTAAAAAAATAAGAACATTTTATATCGACCGAAATTTCTTTTGCACCAACCTAATAAGTAATACCGTAAATACTGTAATTGGACCCCACCCCCATAATGACGGTGCAGAGTGTTACGTAGTCTAGCTTTGGACGAGTTTTTCTCGACACTGGTTTATGCTACAATGCGCGCTTAGGTATCAAAAAATAGCCCTGAATTTCAGCTATTTTTTTGATCCCAAATACGCTTTTTTGATACCAAAGATAATGACGGTGTGGAGTGTTGCGTAGTCTAGCTTTGAACGAGTTTTTCTCGACACTGGTTTATGCTACAATGTGCGCTTTGGTATCAAAAAATAGCCCTGGATTTCAGCTATTTTTTGATACCAAAGACGCATTTTTTGAAAGTACGGGCGCTTTGAAAAAAATGAAATACTAAAAGACTTTTGCGACTACGCGACTGTACGAGGGGGGTGGGGTACTATTACAGTATTTACGGTAAGTAATAAGTAATAGGTAATAAGTAGTAAGTAAGAAATAATAAAAATCAATAATAGGCAGTAATTTTCATTTCTATAAGTTGAATTCTACTAGAAAACTATAGTAATTAGTTGATTTAATCAAAAATTATCCTGTTGTTTTCAACAATTTTCTTGCAGACGATCCTTCTAACTGGTGCTGCTAACGGAATCGGTCGAAGATTGGCTCAAAAATTAGCTAAATGCCAAACGAATTTGATTTTATGGGATGTGGATACGAAAAATTTGGAGAGAACTCGATTGCTGTGTCAAGGTGAAGGAGCACAGGTGATTGAAAAAGAAAATGAGTGAATTTAAAGTGAAAAACACCACTTCTGGTGCCTTATCTTCTTAAAATTTCAATTGAAAAGTGATCATTTAGATAGCAGCTTATGATGTAGACATAACAAATCAGAAAGAAGTCAATCGAGCTCTCGAGGAAATCATTTCAGAGTTTGGACCGATTGACATACTCATCAATAATGCTGGTTTGTTTCTAGCTTTTAAAAAGCTAAAAGTTAAAGCTAATAAAACTTACCGTATTTTCTCTCATAGTAGTTCACCAAGAGCATCGCCTATCGAAATCTCGAAAACCGCTTATCAGAACCTATCGATGTGGGATCGGAAAATGTAGCTGACGATGAGATCTAGTGGGGGATTAAAGTGTTGAGCTTCTGGGCAAAATTGGAAACCGTAAAATAGTAATCAACTCGGCTTGCTTGGGTACTATTAGAGAAAATACGGTAGTAGATTAGTAGGTAGATAAGCTCTTTGCCAATCGTATAGTGTCCACGAGCATAGTTGTTAGTTGCATCCTCTTTTCCAGTGATGAGTTGCTCAGGATGGAAAAGGGAACGATAGGCTCAAGTACGAACCTCATCTAAACTTATGAATTACCGTATTTTCTCTAATAGTAGTGCACCCAGAGTTTTAGAGGAATTTTAAGAATTTGAAACGCACTGTAGTAGTGCACCCAGAGCGTCGCCTAAATTCCTCGAAATCTCGAGAACCGCTTATCAGAACCTATCGATGTGGGGTCGGAAAATGTAGCTAACGATGAGATCTAGTGGGGGATTTGAGTGTTGAGCATCTGGGAAAACTTCGAAACCGTAAAATCGTCACCAACTCGGCTCGGGGTGCACTACTATTAGAGAAAATACGGTATTCAGGAAAATGCTCATTCACAAAGTTTGTTGACATGACAAGAGATCGATTGCAGACACAGATTTTGCTGAATTTTGTAGCACCAATGATGGTGAGTTGAAAATCTTAAGAATGGGTACAGATTGATCATCAAAAATATTAATTAGTTGATCAAAGCCATTCTTCCATCAATGATGGAGAGAAATCATGGCCATATCGTAGCTACTTGCTCGAGTCGGGCCCTTGTTGGGAAAGGAAGTAAGTTTGAAATAAATTCATTAAAATTGTTCATTAAAATCTTCAGTTATTGCTGACTACTCAGCGGAAAAGCAAGCTTTATTGGGTTTAATGGAATCACTCGAGGATGAGATGTGTCTTTTGGGAAAAAGAGGAATCAAATTCACTACTGTTTGTCCGATGTTGACGAAAACGAATATGACAAAGCCATTGTGAGTAATAGTAAGGAATGGTAAAGAAAAAGGGGGGCTGCTCTAATCATTGAGCTGCTCTAATCATTAAGCTGCTCTAATCATTGAGCTGCTCTAATCATTGAGCTGCTCTAATCATTGAGCTACTTATTATCTGCTTGCCAGAGAAGAAAGAGGAAATACAAATTGGAAGAGAAAGAAAGAAAGAGAGGGGAAAGCCTGTACACTTTTTAAAAACAATTTCTATTTTCAGGGGTGATCGTTTCCCTTTACTAGCTCCAGAAGTTGTCGCAGAATATTATTTGGACGCGATTTTATGTGAAAAACGTTTAGCCGTTATTCCACGAAGGAGTATTCTTTCTTATTGGCTTAAATGGTTGAGTAATCTTTAAAAGAAAACAAAAACAATTCAATTTCAGTTTTCTACCAGCTCCAGTTTATCAATTGTTCACATAAAAGGAAAAAATAATTAGGGAATTGATTAATAAATTTTAAATTCATTTTCCAAGTTTTACAGAAATCTTGTGACTCTTTCACTCACTCATTTCTGCTATAATGCTACTATAATGCTACTATAATGCTTCTTTCACCATCTCTTCCACAGAGTTCGTGGTCTAGTGGATCTTGGTCTTGTCTTCTTGTCTTGTCTTCATCTTCTTGTCTTGTCTTCTTGTCTTCATCTTCTTGTCTTGTCTTGTCTCCAAAACAATCTGTCAAGTTTTTGCTCGGCTTCCAGAAAGTTTTAATACATTTACAAAAGTGTTCCTTATTCACCTGCTCATTATACAGTGCTTTTCAAAGGTTAGACGATAGCGTCAAATGGGCGTTTCCGTAAAAAAATGCAACTAAATTTTTTAATTGAATGTTATTTTGATCTACATTAATGTAAAAAAAACTGAAAAACTTTTAGCTTACTGGTTTTGATGAAAATAGAACAAAAATCGACTTTATCGAAAATCTGGTGTTCCAAAAGTTTAGACGGATTTATTGAGTATAAAAGGTCCCACAACCCCGTCCCTTTTGCCATTGACAATCTCACTTTCAGCTCAAATATCTTAGTGTTAGGCTGTTCAAAAGCTTACTGGCTTTGATGAAAATAAAAAAATATCGACTTTATCGAAAATCTGGTGTTCCAAAAGTTTAGACGGATTTAATGTAACAGAAAAAAACTTAACAAAAAGTGCTTTAAGGTGTGTTAAAAAGCAATAACGTTGCCTTCGCAGCGAATTAACTGAAAGATTCCTTTTGGCTTATTTTGGATAAGCGATTAAATCAGTGTGGAAGGAATTTGACTCCATTCTCTAATAATTCAAAGAAAGATTCAAAGAAGCTTTCAAAGAGTCGAGCGTTGTGTATTGTTGTCGATTTTTTGTGGACCTTTCGCACAAGATATCCCCAAATGTTCTCGATGGGGTTACAGTCAAGAGAACATGCGATCCACGGTAACACGGGGACATTTTGTTGTTGAGGGTGGCTGGTGGCCGAAGCACTTCGATGAATGCAAGCCCCATCTTGCATAAAAACGTAAGAATTTCCTTGATTTTGTGTCAGAAATGGAATCAGAGATTGGGATAAAATTTGTCGATACTCGGGACTATCTATTCTCTTTGAGGTGAAGCAAATCTCAAGGATCCCATCTGCACAAAAGCTCCCCAGCACATCAATGATCCTCCGCCAAAATTGCGCTTTAAAAAATATTTTGATTCTTTTCGTAAATCTCTCCAGTAATGCAGATAACGGTCTGGTCCGTCAGACACCGTCAAGACACGTCAAGGCACTTCTTCTCATCGCTGAAGATGATCTAAAGTTTCATTTTGTTTAGATAATTAGCTATAAATCTCACTTTTGTCCAATCTCGATTCATTTCACATTGAGCGAAGTCTAAACGTGCCTTTTTGTGAATATCCTTTAATTTTAGAGCTTCATTCTTTGCAGATTAGGATTCCCTTCCAAGCATCGCAGAATCGTTTGTTTTGAAACTTTAAGCCCACATTCAGTGGCTAACTCCTTAGCTATCTTTGGCGAATTCCAAGCAGCATTTGACATCGTCGATCTCTTTCAGATAACCTGGTGGGTCTACCCATTTTCTTATTGGGACGTTCGTTTTTCATCCTTCCAAATGCTTTTCGAACTCCTGGCTCAGAACGATTAGGTTTCTCCGCAATTTTGCCAATGGTCTGCTTACCGCAGCCAGCGTTACGGTAAGCCTCAATCTGTGAAATCTCGAGAGCGGAATCTCGAGAGAAATTGGACAGCCTAACACTAATATATTTGAGCTCAAAGTGAGATTGCCAATGGCAAAAGGGCCTTAGCTATCTTTGACGAATTCGAAGCAGCATTTGACAAACGTCGTCGATCTCTTTCAGATAACTTGGTGGGTCTACCCATTTTATTGGGACGTTCGTTTTTCATCCTTCCAAATGCTTTTCGAACTCCTGGCTCAGAACGATTAAATTTCTCCGCAATTTTGTCGATGGTTCAGCCTCCTTACGGTAAGCCTCAATCTTAAAAAAAAGGAATGAAAACACTTTCTGAAAAGCCTAATAATCTCTGCTTTTAAAAATCAATATTTCTTCTTGAAATAACAAGAAAAATCCCCCAATTTGTTTAGATTTCTTCTCTAAAACTTTCCAATTTCATTCACTTGTTATTTTCGTAAGAATACAGCGGGCTAATGGGAAGTGGAGAAGCCAAAAAGGTGGAGAAAAATAAACGGTGAAGTGAAATGAGTGAGGGAAAGTTGATTGTTCCCTGGCAACCAGTAACAACCATTTTGCGAGAAAGCAATCTGTAACAATTTCCTTTTGCTCACTCACAATTCAAACATTCATAAGCGCTTGTTGAATTAAAATCAATTGTCCAACTAAAGTCTTCAAAAAATGGCTCCAAATGGGAAAATGGTAAGTCGTAGCTGTAGCTGTAGCGTAGCTGGAGTTAATCTGGAAGTTTTCTGGAATAACTTTATCAACTTTATCAATGATTCAGCGTGAAATCGTGTCTTTGCATGTGGGACAAGCTGGAGTGCAGATAGGGAATGCTTGCTGGGAATTGTATTGTCTTGAACATGGAATCACTCCCGATGGTCTTATGCCAGCTGACTCGACAATGGGAGTTGAAGACTCATCTTATAACACTTTCTTCTCAGAAACTCAATCCGGTAGAAAATTAGAATTAAACTCTGGAAAAGAGTTTTAGGAAAACACGTGCCAAGAGCGATCTTTATGGATCTAGAGCCGACTGTTGTTGGTGAGTTCGATTTCATAGCTAATCCAATTGTTGAAAAAAGCAGAATCTTATAAATTTTAGACTAATATACGATATTTCTTGGTTTTTAAGTTCTTCTGAGTCTCCTGAGTTAAATTCCTTAACAAAGCTGCAGCCAGAAGATCGTCAGAAAGTTTCTTTTAATCTCTTTTCTATGCAAACTTTTTGATTAGCAAGTTTTAAGAGCTTTGCGTATACCTATTACCGGAGTCGAACCCTTTGGTGTAATGGTAAATGTCGCTCATAGGCTTCACAGCCTAGTAATGGCCTAGTAATGACCTAGTAATGGTAAATGCCTAGTAATGGTAAATGTCTTAGTACTAGTAGACCTAGTAATGGCTTCACAGCCTATGAGCGCCATTTACCATAACACCAAAGGGTTGTAGAAACTGGTTCCCGAAAAATGCGCTTAGAAACTTTCTACCTACTAATCTACTACCGTATTTTCTCTAATAGTAGTGCACCCCGAGCCGAGTTGGTGACGATTTTACGGTTTCGAAGTTTTCCCAGAAACTCAACACTCAAATCCCCCACTAGATCTCATCGTTAGCTACATTTTCCGACCCCACATCAATAGGTTCTGATAAGCGCTTTTCGAGATTTCGAGGAATTTAACGCTCTGGGTGCACTACTACAGTGCGTTTCAAATTCTTAAAGGCACCCTCTAAAACTCTGGGTGCATTACTATTAGAGAAAATACGGTAATTCATAAGTTTAGATGAGGTCCGTACTGGAACCTATCGTTCCCTTTTCCATCCTGAGCAACTCATCACTGGAAAAGAGGATGCAGCTAACAACTATGCTCGTGGACACTATACGATTGGCAAAGAGCTTATCGATGTTTGTGTGGATCGAATTAGACGTAAGCTTACCGTAGCTTAATGTCGTTTAATGTAGTTTAATGTAGCTTACTGTAGTTTACTGTAGCTTACTGTAGCTTAGTGTAGCTTACTGTAGCTTACTGTAGCTTACTGTAGCTTAATGTAGCTTACTGTAGCTAATAGATTAATATGGTCATCTTATCCAATTCTAAACTCCAAACTTATCTAGGCTGCACCGAGCGCTGTCAGAGTCTTCAAGGCTTTTTGATCTTTCACTCATTTGGCGGAGGTCTGGAATTAGTCAAAGAATAAAGAATACTCAGCTAAACAATTTAGGAACTGGTAGTGGCTTTTGTTCGCTGATGATGGAACGTCTCTCAGTGGACTATGGGAAAAAGGCGAAACTCGAGTTCTCGATCTATCCAGCTCCACAAATTAGTACATGTAAGTGAAAGGAATCATTTCTAAAGCTATAAACATCTTCTTGACTTATTTCCAGCAATGGTTGAGCCATACAACTCTCTTCTCACGACTCACACCACTCTAGAGCACTCGGATTGCTCGTTCATGCTCGACAATGAAGCTGTTTACGATATTTGCAAGAAGAACCTTGGGACTAAGAGGTTTTATTTGAAAGATGCAAAGTTTAAAAATAAACTTTACAAAGTTTAGCCCAAGCTACACAAATATCAATCGTTTATTGGCTCAAGTTGTCTCCTCCGTGACCGCCTCTCTTCGTTTTGATGGAGCACTAAATGTGGATTTGACTGAATTCCAGACAAATCTTGTTCCATATCCGAGAATTCATTTCCCACTGATTACTTATGCTCCCGTCATTTCAGCGTTTGTTTTTTAAAAAAAATGATTTCTAAGTAAAAGACTTCAAAAAAATTAAAGTTTTTCAAGAGTGATGAAAGGAAATTTTTTACAATTTTTTTGATCTAATTAAAAGTAGATTTATTCGACACGAATAATGAATTATAACATAATGGAGGAAAGAAATTTCTACCTTTATTATTACCCTATTACCCAGATGTCGTTAAGAAAAAAACCCCAAAATGATGGGAAAAAGAACCAATTTTTCTGGTCACCGGGAACTTTTGACCCCCCCGACTAACAGACAAGACAAGACTCCTATCCGGTCAGCTACGACGGCCGATTAGAATAAGATTTATGCTTTTACAGGATACTGACAAACTTTTGACCCCTAGGAGACTAAGAGACAAGACTCCTATCTGGTTGGCTAATTGATTAAAATAATGAAATTAAAATGGAAAGCAATATAATTATTCTAAAATAATTAAAAAGAGCAATACTATATTCGAAAATTTTAGTGAAAAGGCTTATCACGAACAATTGACCGTCAATGAGATCGCTAATCAATGCTTTGAACCAGGCAGTCAAATGGTTCGATGTGATCCAAGAAATGGAAAATATATGGCTTGTTGTTTGCTCTTTAGAGGAGATGTTGTTCCAAAGGTGTGCATTTGATTAAAACATTCGGGAAGGTTCGGTCCACCGGTGGACGAAGGCCGTCTGGCTCTTGGGAAGGTTCGGTCCACCGGTGGAGGAAATTTTTGACGCGCTATAACTTTTCGACTTTTTAAGATAATTTCAAAATCTAAAAAGATTTGATTAGTTCTAATCAAGAACTATAAGGTTGCGCTTTGAAATATTGAAAAATGAATGAATGAAAATGAAAATGAAAAGGATCTCGAGCCAAGGGGTATCGAACCCTCGACCTCTCCATCCTTGACGGGCAGACACCACTGAGCTATCACCACTTCTTTCCCCAAGAAGAAATAAGAAAGAAGAAAGAAAGAGAAATAAGTGAACTGTTTTGTGTTTAGATTTTGATTTTTAACGAAACACGCAAATTCTAGGACATCAACGCCGCGATCCCGCTGATCAAAACAAAGCGATCGATCCAATTTGTGGACTGGTTAGTTGGAGAATCTCTGGAAATACTAAAAATCTAGGTGTCCAACCGGTTTCAAAGTCGGCATCAACTATCAACCACCGACTGTTGTGCCTGGAGGTGATTTGGCTAAATTGCAACGGGCTGTCTGCATGCTTTCGAATACAACGGCTATTCAAGAGGCTTGGGCTCGTCTCGATCACAAATTTGATCTCATGTATGCGAAGAGGGCTTTTGTGCATTGGTGAGTTCATTGGAGATTCTATGTAGTTCTTAAGTAGTCTTTAAACAATTCTATGTAGTTCTAAGTCTTTAAAAGATTCTATGTAGTTCTATCTTGTCTTTAAAGGATTCTATGGAGTTCTATCTTGTCTTTAAAGACTTCTACGTAGTACTATGTAGTCTTTAAACGATTCTATGTAGTTCTATCTTGTCTTTAAAGGATTCTATGGAGTTCTAAGTAGTCTTTAAAGGATTCTATGGAGTTCTAAGTAGTATTTAAGGGATTCTGCGTAGTTCTATCTAGTCTTTAAAGGGTTCTACATCAAAAAGATTAAAGGGTTTAAAGGATATCCGAGTAAAAGTTGATTTTCGCAAATGAACTTATTAACAAACGCTTAAAAAATCAGTTTTGAGTCCCATTTTTCATATAAATTAGCTTGATTTTGATCAAATTTTGATCAAATTTCGATTAAAATCTATGATTTTACAGGTATGTTGGTGAAGGAATGGAAGAAGGAGAGTTCAGTGAGGCTCGAGAGGATATGGCGGCGTTGGAGAAAGATTATGAAGAGGTTTTGTTTGAGCATGTTTCAAGCAAATAATTCGAATTCATAAACTCTCTATCAACTTTGAAAAAATTTTTTAAATCGTTTAGCGCTCTCAAAATTGGTTTTGTACAAAGTACTTGTACTAGTAATCTACCCTAGTAATCTATATTTCGAACAGCCTTTACTATTGGCTCTCTGGGTCAAGTCTTAAATTTACAACTTTCATTCCAAGCAATAGATTTCAGCAATAGTAATAGCAATAGATTTCCAAGCAATCTTGATTATTATCGACATTGTAAGCTTTATTTATTTTGCTTTATTCAACAAAAAAAAATTGTTTCCAGGTCGGCGTGGACAGCTTCGATCCGACTGAAGAGGAATACTAAACTTTTTTCTGAATTTCTAGCATTCATCTGTGGTTTTTGAAGTGTATAAAGAAATAATTTAAATAAAAATAAACAAGTTTTCTCAAACAGTTACATCTACAGAAATCATTACATAAAGAAAACTACTAAAACAAAACTAAGTAAATGAATAGGATCACGATGAAAGACTCAGAAGTTATGCAAGCAATAAATTTCTGCCATAGCAATAGATTTCTAGGCAATGGTTGAGCCATACAACTCTGTTCTCACCACTCACACCACTCCAGAGCACTCGGATTGCTCGTTCACAATGTCGTTAGCAATGTTGTTGTATTGTGAATGATTCTTAATAAAATGTGGATCCTTTTTGACATAAACTCTTGCAAGAAATCCCGTCTGATCTTCAGGATCTGCATTGTCATTCAGTGTCCAATAGTACTAAATACTTCTATGGTTTGTTTCCAGTTCCAGGCCAAGCCAGGATGACTAGAACTTCTCTGGTGGTCTGGTTTTGAATCAAAACCACCAATTCCCAGCTCTTGTTCCTGAATTTTCCTATTTTCAATTGATTTACAAGGAATATTCCATCGTTTTTCTGAGCTCAGATTGTAGAAATGGTTCTAGCCTGCTTCTAGCTCAAGAATCACAACAGGAATCAAATAGGCCTAAACCTAAAGTTTGTTCAGTGATAGAATGCTCGCCTGCCACGCGAGTGACCCGGGTTCGATTCCCGGACTGCGCACCAAAATGTGCAGTGCGTGAGAGGGTCCCGATGGGGCAATGATTGTTTAGATATTTATTCCGAATATAGCACAATCACTAATCTAGCGAGAAAAAAACAATAAAATCGAATCAATCGTTGGTTCAGTGTGTCAAAGCCAAAGCAAAGCAATACAAAGTGGGCTTCGTCCCTTTTTATCACACAAACGATCTTTAGAGGAAGGACAAGAGAATCAGAGATATTCAAAATCAAAGCATCAAATAAGATTTCAAAGAAAAGAGCTACTTTTCTGCACAACCTGCAAATCATAATTTACTAGATGTCCAGCTTTTTAAAGTATTCATGTGCTAAAATATTATCCTAAACTTCTAATTCAAATCTCTAAACACTTTAAAACCTACCTTAAGCTGTGTTGCATTGTAAACAGTTTTGTTAAACGCAACTTTATTCTTTCGACTCCAATCTACTCTAAACATTAATCTTTTCTTCAATTCAAAACCCACAAACTTATACAAAAGCGTTTCATCAATCGACAATCTACCGACAATGTTCCAGCGATGAGCTCGACAAAGTTAATGATGAAGATAATTGGCAAGGAATCTTAGTCTGTAATTTCTAGTAAGTGACTTTGGTTTGAAATTGTTTTAAACCCACTACATAGAATGAATCGAAAGGGAATAAATTATCAGGATTCCAGAAATGATGAAAGCCTTGTGCAGTAAACTCGTAAACTGTTTGATTCGGATAGTAGAGGTTATCTAAATGTCTGTCTATCTGTCTGTCTGTCCCTCTGACTGTCTGTATGTCTGTCTGTCTGTCTGTCTGTCTGTCTGTCTGTATGTCTGTATGTCTGTCTGTATGTCTGTCCGCCTTTGTCCAACAAAACAGTTGGCTTGGGTTTGGCTTGACCTGGAAAATTGCTGTTTGGAAAATCCCTGCTTTGACAAAGTCATACGTTTTTCAGATGCAGCGATTCGAGAATGAGCAAAATATGAAACTGGACAGACTCGATGCAAAGCGAGACACTGAAGAGCAATTATCCTGATTTGATCCCGACGAGAGGACAATCGCTGGCAGTGAATCCAGGATCAGCTAATGGGTTTAATAAAAAGACGGGAATAAATTCTGTTTATAAACTGCCCCAAACGACCATATCAAACATTCCAGTGTGCTATATTTTTGCTCCAGTTTTTCAAGTAGTTTTTATGTATGATTGTCTTGAATCCAACGAAAACTACAAAAATACAAACTTTCAAAAGAAATTGCCTACTTCTTCTCAAAAAAAAAAAACGCTCTCGAACCGTGTAAACTGATAACCACTACTGGTTTTTTTTTCGATCGGTTTGGAAGAGATTGCCGCTGGAAAACTTGAGAGATTGTAAAAATGGCTTGAGTTGATTGAGTGACGAGATGATCAAACTAAAAAAAAAAACATTAAATAATTGAGGTAAAAAAGGGTACAACAAAAAAAAGGAAAAAATTGCGAAAAGCGGCGGAAAGGCTATTGATCTGAGGGTCGCTGGTTCGACTTCCACCGGTGACAATATTTTTCAAAAATTTTTTGCTAAGATTCTGAACATGCGTGTCTAGGGGTTATTTTTGACGCTGATCACGAAACACATGTTTTTAGCCTAGGTTTCTGCACGGTAAACTAACGAAACGCGAAAACAGCCATTTTTTGGCTCTGCCGCCCTTTACTAAAATAGCTGTAAAAACGTTTTAGAAAAGCGATATCTCAAAACGGTTTTTACCAATCGATCCGTCTTGAATTCAGCTTTAGGATGAGCTATAAAACGTCAAAATTGGACAAATTTAAGGTACTCTCCCAAAAAATCCGAAAGGACTTTTCCACCAACCCAATAAAAAGTAATCAGTAACAAAGCTGAAAGTTTGACTAAAAAAAAATGAAGCCAAGCCAAAGTCAATGGATTCCCGTTAGGCTTGCCTTTTCAGAAAAAGAATCAAATTGATTTTGTTTGACCTAGAAAATCGCTTTTTGTTCTACCAACCAGATTTTAAATTTTTCGAATCTCCCAAGCACCGCGTAAAAATGTTTATTCGACTTTCAAGTCCACGTCAAGTTTTTGGTCTAACCAGAAGGCTCTTTGCTCTTATCAATTCTAAATTTCACCCGGATTTCCCAAAGAAAATATGTCTTCAAAGTGAGCCATGATTGCTCTTTCTGGAAGTCCATTTAGCCGAAATAATTTTTGGTGATTACGATAAGGATTTTTTTTGTTTCCAAGCCCATTTCGTTTACAAAGTCACAATTCTAATTGGTTTTTCATCTTGTTCTTTGATTTCTTTTACTTATTTTAAGCCGATTTTCTTAATTCTATTTGAAATAATTTCGAAAAATTGCTGCAAATTACTCAGTTTCATTATCGTTTATTTCTCTTAAGATCGATTCATATCATTTAAGCCCGAATGATTCGTCTTTGTGTCGCCGAACCGACAGAGCTCAAAGTGGGAGTAATGATTGGCTGTGGGAGGTACTCGTTTGTGAAATTGAACAAAATTAAGAACAGGTACAATCGATAGTTGCGACAATCGATTCTCAATATCAATTGATTTAGATTAATAGCTGAAAAGTATATGGTGTGTTCGAATGAAATCAATTCAAAGCTTTTCCAATCAGAGATCTCCGTATTAAAACGATTGAATCCGCATCAAAATATTGTTCGATATATTGGTTCGGAGAAACGCGACGTCTTCTACATTCTCAAACTTGGATTGTGCGAGAAGGGCCCTTTGAGAGAACGTGAGTTTTCGAGAATGAGCTTGATTATCTCTAGGACTCGTACTCTTTATTCTATCTTTCTTTTCAAAACCCACAAAGATTTCAAAAAGCTTTTCTTTCGTACTTTATCGACTCCAAAACACAGCTTGTTCGATTCATCGCTTAAAGTTTCTTCCACACAAAGATAGAGCACAATCATTTAAATAAGTTGTCAAATTTTCAAGAAGATTCTTTCAATCGTTTTCTCTAGATGACAGTTTATCGATTTTGTGAAAAACAAAATTGGTTTTATTAAGCGAATACGTTGTTTGATACTTTATTTTCAGTCATTGATGAGTCAAAATTTATCTACTCGATGAGAACAGCTCTTTGGTGGGCTGAGCAACTCTTTTCAGCTCTTTGTTTCTTAAAAAAAATGGGCGTCATTCATCGAGATGTTACACCGAGAAAGTAGGAAAATAAAAGATCATTGATATTCTTTTAGCATTAGAGTGTGTTCCTCGCGAGTAATGCGTTTTTTAAAACGCACACTTGGGAAAAAATTACCGTACTTTTAGCAAAAATTATTGCAAAAAAATGACGCAAAAATGACGGGCCCCTATCCGACACTTTTTAAAGATACTCAGCTGTTTAACTGATTTGGTGGGAAATCTCTCCCAATCTCTCCCAATATCTTTTGAAAAACCTTGTGGTAGGCTAGTTTCCGCAACTTTTTTTTTGCGCAACAAGATCATTTGCGCAACTCGCCATAACTTTCTTCTAAGTGGGCTAATCTTTATGATTTTGGTTTTATTTTGTTGCACTTATTAAGATCTACAAAATGAAATCAAAATCATAAAGATTGGCCGACTTAGAAGAAAGTTATGGCGAGTTGCACAAATGACCCAGTTTCGCAAAACAAATTGCGGAAACTATTCTTACTATTCTTATTCTTTAAATCATTATAATTCAGCCAAATTAGCCAAATTCTCGGGGTAGGCTAATTTCCGAAACTCTCCATAACTTTCTTCTAAGTCGGCCAATTTTTATGCTTTTGATTTCATTTTGTTGCACCTATTGAGATCTACAGAATGACACCAAAATCATAAAGATTAGCCCACTTAGAAGAAAGTTATGGCGAGTTGCGCAAATGATCCTGTTGCGGAAACTAGCCTACCCCAAAACCTGCGCAAAAAATTGCTTTTATATTTTTTTTCGCGCAGGCGCACTTTATGGAAAACGCATTACTCGAGTAAAAAATTACTCATGCAAATTTACTCGAGTAATTACTTACTCGCGAGGAACACACTCTATTTTAGCATCCTTCTCGACAAAAATTTCATCTTGAAACTCGCTGATTTTGGCTTTGTTCGTGATTTGGGCACTCAAAGCAGCAACAAACAAACAGGCACTTATCGATATATGAGTCCTGAAGCCTATTATTCGGAACTGCAAGATCAGGTTAGCTTTTTGCAAGTGTAAATGAGTAAATCAACTTAGGTGAGCTGCCAAAGCGATCTTTATGCGGCAGGGTTGGTGCTATGGGAAATTCTCGAAAGAAGGTTAATTTTTGTTTATTATTATGCACAGGAGACTCGTGTTTTCAGAACAATTTTCACTGAATATCATCATCATCCGGATGGTTTTGATCATGACAGGCTTTTCGCTGATCTTAAAAGAGGGACTCTCGAGTTTCTAGCGCCGAAATGCGAGCATCAAATCGGAAATGTTGTCACCCGGTTTGTGGCTTTCTTATTGAAAATCTTTTTTATCCTTTTTCTTAGTTGTGTCAAATATGATTTAAATGAACGTCCACTTGCTGAAGATCTTCACCGAATAATTGAAGAAATGAACATCGTAAATAACTAGAAAAACTAGAGAAATTAGTATTTAGAACTTTGAGAACTTGATGAACTTGGATAAACAGCCAAAATTTCGAGCTGAACAGAAGAAAAGGTTAAAACCTATTGGCTATGATGGTACAATGAAGGAAATTGTTCTCGAGGAGGATGAAGTCGCTCTATCTGAGTTGGGATTTGATTCTTTCACTCCCACTCCCGTTGTATCAATGATCAATGGAAAAGTTGTGGAAAAAGGTTGTTTCTCGTAAGAGTCTTTAATAAAGCTTATTAAGAGCTGGTGTTAATTGAGATGACTTCGAAAGTGATCCAGGAGTCCGAAGACAAAGTTCGCAAGACAAGTTCGGGTATTTAAGTTGAGAGATCACTTGAATTAGTTCAATTTTTAGTGAAATCGAAGAGTCAAACTCTGCACAAAGGAGTCAGAGATATCGAGATTGCGAGGCTTTCGGTGGAGAACGAAATTGAGGTAAACAGCTAGACGATAGTTAGTTCAACAAAGCTAGAGCTATTTTCAATCTTTAGAAAACTCTGCCTCCAGATCCCATGCCAACAGTTGCTTCTCCTGAGGTCAAAGAAACGAGAACTTCAACGGTTACAGCTTTAAAGTGACTTTCTGATTTTGCCCTCTTCAATTTGTTTCTAGAAATCGTTTTGAAACTGCTCCAGAAGAAGCACTAATAGTGAACACAAGTGTATTGGCTCTTGCGACTGATCTAGAACCACCTGGGCGAATCATTGGAAAAATCATCCAAGAGCACGTTGGTTTAAACGTTTCCCCCTACCTATTTAATTTTTTGTTCATTTTAAAGTCTCGCTCAACGTCAAAGAATCGTGAATCAATTGGCATGCTTTTGGCAACTCCAGCACAGCTCCAGATTCTCAGCACAACCGGGTTTACTACATATAAATAGTAAACTCTTTTTTTTGTAGAGATAAAGACATCGGCTCTCTAAGTTCGATAAATCGTGTGTTTTCTCCAATCCCTGCAGATCCGTCAGTGATTCAGCCAATAGAAACATCACGTAATGAATATGTAAGTAAGCCTTTATCTGTTAAAGTGTTTATTTTTTTTGTAGTTTCCCGTCGTTGAGATTCTAGTCGCCCCGCCCGAACCGCCAATCGACTATATGAACAAAGAGAATGCTGAGATAGAGAACCCGGGCAATTTGGGCAAGCCTCAAGGCAAGACTAGTAAAAATCACAAGTAATTCTAGATTTTATAGAACACCAACTTGTTACTAATTCTGATTTCAAGAATAACAAATTTTCAATGTCGAAAACGGATTCAAAAATAAACCCAGGTCTCACATTATCATAGAAATCTTTAATGAATACTTTAGCTGCGCTGTATGATGTTGGTTGTCAAGCAGCTTCGATCACTCTTCAACCTTCTTTACCTGAAGTAAGCGGTCTTTTTTCTCTGAGCCTAGAGTCTTTTCAGTTAGTTACAACATCAAGTGTCGTGCATGATTCTCAAATTAGCCAGAGTAATTCGACTAGAACGACAATAGCTCAAAGTGTCAACACTGAAAGCACGCTAACAAATACTAGCGTTGGATACAGGCAAGTTTATCTTAAAGTTTACTTTAAAAGCTTGTCAACATCGTTTTCAGATCAATCGACCCAAAACGCCTTGAGAAAATGCAGAAAGCAGATAGAGAAGTACAAAAATCATTCAAGAGAAGCGCTATTCGTCAACTGAATCAACTGGAGGATAAATATTCAAAAGAAAAAGAAGTTAGTGATAAAGAACATTCAGGAAAAGTGTGAGTCCATTTAGGCGTATCGAATCAACTCTAAAAAACGTCTTAAAGAGATGGAGGACAATAAATTGATGGAGTTTGAGGATGAACGAAGAAAGCAGAGAAAAGCTTATAAAATTGTACAAGCCAAGCTGAAGTTGAAGGAGGTTTTAAGAGCTTAATATTCAATTTTACATTTTCCAGGAGCGCGAAATGGCTGAATTCCGTAGCATTGAGGCAGTACAATTGAAAAAGATTGAAAATCGAGTGAAGAATCTTCCAAAATCGATGCAAAAGGAGACTCTTAATGCGCGAAAGTCCCAGCTTAAAAGAGAAAGACGAGAGGAAGTGAGAAGTTGTGCTAGAATGTACAAGACTTAGATAGCTAAGTGTAAGACAAAGGTGATATTTGGATCGAGCTTTAAAGCAGCTTGATAAGCCTGATAAGCGGAATCCTAGATTTTCTTTTATTAAGTCTTAGGCAAGACTTAATTAAACTCTAGAGATCTAGAGATCTACAGGGTGACCAAGAATTATCGCAACACACAAAATGCCTGGCTTTTAACCAAATATCCAACCAATCCCGAAAAGTTAACTCAAATATCTTTATTCAACAAATAACAGTAACAAATTAACAATTAAATTCAAATTTGCCTCCATCGGCATTCAGACAGGCCTGCAAACGTTTGGGAAACGCGTTGACCGTGACGAGCAAATAGGCATCATCGAGGGTATCCCATACTTTGATGAGCGCCTTCTTCAAACTTTCGATATTTTTATGTGGTTTTGCACATGCCCTGACTTCAAGAACACTCCAGACTGAGTAATCCAATGGGTTAAGATCGGGTGAGCTGGGTGGGCACTCAGAAAACGAGATCAAGTCCGGGAAAGTCTTTGAACAAAACAACCATAATAATGTATTGAAATTTAGTAATCATACCATAAAATAAGAAAAATACACAAAAACCATAAAAACAGGTAAGCAAAAAGTAAAATGGGGCTCATAACATAATACGACGTTGTTGCGGTAATTCTTCGTCACCCTGTAGAGTTCAAGATCATTTCTTTGTTGCAAAACTTGTAAGCACAATAAATTAATCTCTATGCTATTTCAGGAGCAACGATTTATTCAACGTCTTAAACGAAAGATTGATTTGATAATGAGAAAGTTAGCTGAAACTGATCAAAATGCTATCTCAAAAATTGAACAAAAATATGTAACAAAGATGGGAAAACAAAAGAAAAGAGATAAAGAAATTGAAGCAAAACGTATTGAAAGAATGCGTAAAGACAAGTAATTTGTCAACGATTTATTTATTTATGATTCTCTTAGATTCGATTTAAATGTGAAACTTTTCAAGATAAAATGGGAAATGCTTGAGGCACAACTCGATTGTGCTCAACACGAAGAGGTGAAACGGTTAGAAAAAGTCGAAAAGAAACAAATGAAACGGTGAGAAAGCTGTTGAGCAAACATATAACATAGTTACAGTATGAAGATACCAATGTTCTTCAACTTTTTTCGTCAAAGCTCCAAATCTCGTGAACTCGAGGAAAATCTGATGTCAGAGGTTGAGCTGAATTGATTTCTCAAATGAATTCCTTTTTAGTTACAAGAATTAAAGGAACGACATCGACTAGAGGTATTTTCATGATCTTTTGTGGAATTGATGAATTCCATTGACTACCGTATTTTCTCTAATAGTAGTGCACCCCGGTGAGCCGAGTTGGCGACGATTTTACAGCTTCCAAAGTTTTCTCAGAAGCTCAACACTCAAATCCCCCACAAGATCTCATCGTTAGCTACATTTTCCGACCGCACATCGATAGATTCTGATAAGCGGTTTTCGAGATTTCGAGGAATTTAGGCAACGCTCTATGTGTACTACTATTAGGGAGAATACGGTATATTGAAAGCTCTACAATATCTACAAAGTCAAGTTAATGTCCGCGACTGTATGATATATGTAGATCTATACTCAAATACCGTATACTCTCTAATAGTAGTGCACCCAAGCGAGCCGAGTTGGTGACGATTTTACGGTCTCCGAGCTTTTGCAGAAGCTCAAAACTCTAATCCCCCACAAGATCTCATCGTCAGCTACATTTTCCGACCCCACATCGATAGGTTCTGATAAGCGCTTTCCGAGATTTCGAGGAATTTAGGCGACACTCTGGGTAGAGAAAATACGGTATATTGTTATTGTTAACTATTGTTGTCTTTATTGTTGTCTCTATTGTTGACATAACCCAATCAAAAATCCGTTTTTCAGTTTCTTTATCTTATTCATCTTATTCCAGAAACGCGAGTTTGAAAAGAAGAAGAATCAAAAACTCGATCAACTCTATGAGACTCAAAAGAGTGGAGATAATTTCTCATTGTTTGATGACTCGGACGAGGAAACGATTGTCGAGAACGACTATGCCACTCTTTCACAACGATCCCTGAACACTTGGAGACTGTAGAATTGTTTTAATAAATCAATTTTTTAATTGGCTATCTAGGTGGGTTAAGGTTTTGGGATTGATTGAATTGTTAACAAAATTAGGTACTGAACTATCCCATCCAACCCGGAATCTTATTACCATCTCCTCAGCCAGAAGTGCAAAACACAAGCTTTTTTCAGTTTCAAGCAATGTCTTAGCTTGAAGTGAGTGAAGATAAACTAACTTTTGAAGCCATTAGACTGATTAATGTCACTCTAATATATACAGGCAATTCTCTCCACTCTTTCCACTCTTCTTTCCACTTTTTTTCTAGCAAAAAAGTATAACTTTTTTTTTGTGAAAGCTAGTGAGTTCATTTAATTCTGAACTTTAAAAACCCACTTTGACAAGTTATAATACTCATTCTGACAAATGTTCTATCTTGAACAGAGTGGTGGAGAGGTGAATTCTTCCCGCCAGCCAAGGACTTTAGTTTTCTTTTAATCTTTTCCGTCATTCTTTTGCCTCAAACATACATCTTTTAAAGAAATTTCTATCAATTAATCTTTTTATTACATTTAAAAACTAAAAAAAAAGACAAAAAATCAAGAAAATCAGATCACTGGACAGAATTCACAAGTTTTGGCGCAAACAAGTTGAATGGTCGTGTTCTCTTGTAGTTTTGACATCTGAAAAAGTTCCAATTCTCAGGAGACTGCATTTTTAGAGCTTTCAACTTTTTGTGGGTAAAACAAACAGTGCGATTCCAATATCGTGGCACGGAATGATTCCCGCCATTGAACGAGAAACAGAACGTCGATTCGGAGCACGTCATGTTGAAGAATTGAGCTGAAATCGAGAAATTCTGTGAATTACTACATCCAGTGGTCCTACGCTACTTACAATCGTATCAACAACGAATAATTAGTGTGGCGAATACCCACTAAAAAGTTATCTAACTCTGACAGCCTAGAAAATGGAAAAGTATTGCGGAAATCCGTGCGTCTTCATTCTATTTCGCGCCCCAAATCATTTATTGTTTTGTAGCTTGTTAGCTGAATATCTTTTGTTAAGCCTATATAACGCAACTGTTGTTCATTTGATGTGTTTTGGGAGTGGGACAAATGCGACCTTTTTTTTGCGCACCCGGACATTTGCGCACGTTTTTTTCCGCACTTAGCCCATTAGCGCACCTTTTTTCGCGTTTTAAAAAATCTCTAAAAAGCTAATATTAACCAATTTCTATTCCAAAAGTTGTTTTTCTAGGTAATTTTAGGGTGTAGAAACGAAATTTTGGCATATCAGAGCTTGTGGAACCAATTTGAAAGTCAAAATGGCTAGGTCAAATTACAGAAAATTGTTGATTTTTCTCTTTGTATAACTCCGTCCGTTCGCTTCCACAAGCTCTGATATGCCAAAATTTCGTTTCTACACCCTAAAATTACCTAGAAAAACAACTTTTGGAATAGAAATTGGTTAATATTAGCTTTTAGAGCTTTTTTAAAACGCGAAAAATGGTGCGCTAATGGGCTAAGTGCGGAAAAAAACGTGCGCAAATGTCCGGGTGCGCAAAAAAAAGGTCGCATTTGTCCCACTCCCTGTGTTTTTACTTTTTTCTCTTTTCCTTTCATCGTGTGAAAATTGTGTCCTAATTTGGACGGAATTTTTTTCTATTTTTATCGTCGCTTTTAATTCAATTGTCGATTTTGTGTGAAAATTGCTCAAGTGAGAGCCCAAAAATTTCCGAGTCAGGCGGCTAGTTTTCGAGCTGTTTATCGATTAACTTTCAGCTAGATTACAGTAATTTTTTTTTTAACGCAGCTTTATTCTTTCGACTCCAATCTACTCTAAAAATGAATCTTTTCTTCTCCAAAAATTCCGAGTCTGTCGGCTATTGAATAAAGTTTAAAGCTTTTTAAAGTATTCATTTGCTAAAATATTATCCTAAACTTCTAATTCAAATCTCTAAACACTTTAAAATCTACCCTAAGCTGTGTTGCATTGTAAGCAGTTTTGTTAAACGCAGCTTTATTCTTTCGACTCTAATCTACTCTAAACATTAATCTTTTCTTCCCCAAAAATCTCGAGTCAGTCGGCTATTGAATAAAGTGTCTTAGTTCAATTGAGATCAGATATCTCGAAACAAGAAATAACGTGTCTTGAGTGAACAGTACCAAGCACACAGAGAATATTTCTTTACAGTTAGCTAACTATGCTAACTATAATATTATAAGCTATAGGTTTTTCTAAAACCCGATATGCAACCGATTCCATTTGAAATGAACTGAAATGATTATTATGAAGGTCTAATGATTTTCTGTTTCCCTTGAAGAGAAGAGAATTTCTTTTAAATCCACTAATCCAATGTTAAAGCATTTTAAATGTAAAGTAGTTAGTTCACTTAAAACTATGAAGATATTTTTCCAATTAAAAGCTGAAAAATAATTCTGACTCACGTCCAACCGTCGAGGGAAACACGTTCGCACGCGTTGATTACCGAGGGAAACGGTTCGCATGCGTCGATGAAACACATGTTCTCCTCAATCACTGGATCTCAATAGCAACCGCAGAGAGCCTCGGGCGAACAAGCTGAAACTCGTTTTCTTTTTCTGAATGCTAATGTATACAATAGTTCAGCTTGGAGTCTTTCTGAATGTTTTCAATTGTTGCCATTAAGTTTAAAGAGAAGAGAATTTCTTTTAAATTCACTAATCAAATGTTAAAGCATTTGATGTAGTTAGTTCACTTAAAACTATTTTTAATAGAAATAAATGCTACAGGGTGTGCCAAAATTACGGCTACACCATCTCAGCAGATTGTATGCCAAACGCCGCAATCAATTCAAAAACCCTAAGTGTTAAATAGAGAATTGAAGCCTGAATTCTTGCCTATATTTCTATGCCAAAAACCAAGTCCAAGAACATTTTCTTTAAGAGAAAAATTCGGTTTTTAACTATTCTTTTCTGGGTTAAGTTCTGAATAATATTCCATGAACTCGAGAACTTTCCTCATCAGGTTTTTCTTCCTGGAAAACCGAGATCAATTATTGAAATGGATTTTCAGTTTGCAAAGCTTTTGATCGTAAATGACGCAAAGAAAGAAAGATAATAAAGAAAGAAAAGAAAAAGAAAGATGATAAAGAAAGAAAGAAAATCTTGTGGAAAAATCAATCACCACTCAAAAAGAGTCGTTTACCCAAAGAAGTAAACAATGTTTTTCTTGTCTTTTCTACTTTTTCCATTCCTTTCGGCCGATGATCCAATTTGTCCAAAGTATTTTTTCTATCAAAGTGATCTGAATCTTTGCATTGTGCGGCTGAATAGTCAAGGTTTGTGCCAATTCACGAAATAACTTTTAGCTTTTCCATTCACAAAGGAAGTCTTGGCTGGGATGTGGTTGGGTTGGCAGGTTTCAGGTAGGCATCTGGGATTGAGCTGAGACCAAATGGATCTTATAGAATCAACGATGCTGATCACGAATATTTATATAACTTTTGCCTTCGTTCGCCCAAACGCAAGATATTTGGCACGAAAGTTTTAGCACTTACCTTATAAAGTCGCTCACGCGTTAGAAGAAAGTGCGGCTGTGGTCGAATGGATAAACGCCTTGTATCAGGCGCTACCTTGATTGTTTTGCCGCTGGTTCGAATTCTTTTGCTGCAAAGCTTTGTTTACTTTTTTTCCCTTCAAGCTACTAATAGTAAAACTAAATTATGATCACAAAATAAATAAGACATAAACATTTCGATTCAAAGAAGAAAAAAAAAAACGTAAAATTTATTCAAAAACTTATGAAACTGATATAAATATTAATTTTTAACGGAATTAAAAATTATAATAAATTTCAATGAAATAATAGAAAGCGCATATTCAAAAATTCGTCGTTGAACTTTGAAACTTACTTTGAAAACAGTTTTAGCTTACTTCGATTCATCGGCCGTAGTTCTTCCTTCAATTGAAATCGACATGCGAGATGGTTAACGACTTGATGCACATTAATTTCCATCTGAAAAATGCATATTTTTAGAATCATAGCAAAAAAGAGAAAAAAAGCAAAAGGCCTTGCAGCAAAAGGATTCGAACCAACGATAAAGCAAAGTAGCGCCTGATAGAAGACGTTTATCCACTCGACCACAGCCGCACTTCCCTCAAACCCATGAGCGACTCTATAAGCTAAGTGCTAAAACTTTCGTACCAAATAGCGAACGGACAAACGAACGGATCGAACGGACGAACGAGGGCAAAAGTTATATACATCTTCGTGCTCGTCGTCGATTCTATTGGGTTGGGGAGAATGAGTCGGCGCCGAAATTTAAAGAAACTTTTTGCACCCATAAAACCTTCTTTAAATACACGTTTTGTTTCATCAAAATGGTCCACTATTTCTTTACAAAATGGCTTTTGAGAGATTCCACAAAGCTTTTCTTTTTTGGGATTTTATGGATTCCCAAACACAGCTAATCAAAATGACAAAAAGTCCGACTCATTGCTTGAACAGTTTCTTCCACATAAACCTCCTTTGGTGTTTATATAAAAAAGATAGAGCACACTCAATTACATAAGTTACCAAATTTTCAGGAAGATCCCTCCAACCGTTTACTCTAGATGACAGTTTATCGATTTTGTGAAAAAATGATCCTTTGTTGAGTTGAGGCGCTGTTTGAGTTCTCTTTTAAATATTATTTTGTAGAGAATTAGTTACCCTTCTACGGATATCAAACGCATATCATTTGACAAAGTCTGCTATAAGTTTTAGAAATTTCTTTGATTTTCGGCGCCGACTCATTCTCCCCAACCCAATATAAGATCCATTTGGTTTCAGCTCAATCCCAGATGCCGACCTGAAGGACCTCCCTTGATCGCATATTCCGCAATTAGGCATGCCTCGTACCTCAATGCCGGAACTTAATTAGATTGGGCTACATTTTGCGGTCAAAATTGTTTTTGAGTTTTCCCTATCTTTATGATAACTCACAATAAAATTTGTTTCCCCCAATCTGCGCACTTTCTAACTCCAAAATCGACAAATTTCAGAAAATCCGTCAAATCACTATTTATTTCTTCATATTTATATACCATTTTTGGGCTTAAAATGAAGCTAGAGATCTTATAAAGTCAAAAAAAATAACTTAATTAGGCTTCAAAGAGAGTAGAATTGTGTTTCTTGTGAATTGTCGCGGTAAGTCCTCAATCGCATCCCTGAAGTAGCCTTTTTTTCTGATCAATAATTTTACTTGGGTGTGATACGTCCGAATCGACATTTTAGGGAAAAATGGTCTTGTTGTGAATGTGTTAAAATAGAAAAATAATGAATGATTTTTCCAGCCGACTGGAAAACAGCCGAATTTCTGTGTTCTGGGGAGTTCGGTGGCCATTTGCCGTCGATTCACAACGCCTTTCAGAATTCCCTTTTTGCTGAACTGCAAATGAGTGACTTACAGTTGAATGATAAAAAAAAGAAAGAAGATTTCAGATTTGACTGGTAATTTTCTCAACTATTTGGGCGCCAAGCAAATCTCGAATGGAGTTTTTAATTGGAGTGATGGATCGGTTTTTGACTATCAAAAACTTCAGCATTCAAGTGAATTCTTGATGTTAGAAAAGAAATTAAAGAATTAAAACGAAGCCACAATCATTTCACAATCAGTTAATTTAATCTTTGACTTTGAAACAATTACTTTGGCTTTTAGGTTGGTGAATCGAAAACCGGGGGGAATTTTAAAAAAGAGAGAAAAAAAAAAAAAAAAAAAAAAAAAAAAAAATTAAAAAAAAGGGGGAGGAAAAGAGAAAAAAAAAAAAAAAAAAAAAAAAAAAAAAAAAAAAAAAAAAAAAAAAAAAAAAAAAAAAAAAAAAAAAAAAATAAAAAAAAAAAAAAAAAAAAAAAAAAAAAAAAAAAATAAATTTTTTTTTTGTATAAAAAAATTTTTTTAAATTAATTTTTAATTTTTAAAAAAAATTTTTAAAAAAAAGGGGGAAAAAGGGGGAAAAAGGGGAAAAGGGGCACCGGGAAAATTTTAATTTTTGATTTTTTAAAAAAAAAGGGGGAGGGGGGGGGGGGGGGGAAGGGGAAAAAAAAAAAAAAAAAAAAAAAAAAAAAAAAAGGGGGGGGGGGAAAGGGGGAAGGGGGGAAAAAAAAAAAAAAAAAAAAAAAAAATTTTTTTTTTTAAGGGGCCGGAAAGAAAAAAAAGAAAAGGGAAAAAAAAAAAAAAAAAAAAAAAAAATGGGGGGGGGTTTTTTTTTTTTTCATTTCGGGCCCGGCCGGGGGTTTTTATTTTATTTAATAAAAAAGAGGGGGGGGAGGGGGGGGGGGGGAAAAATAAAAAAAAAAAAAAAAAAAAAAGAGAAAAAAAAAAAAAATAAAAAAAAAAAAAGAAAACAAAAAAAAAGGGGAAAAAAGGAAGGGAGGAAAAAAGGGGAGGGGAATAAAAGGGAAAGGAAGGGAGGGTTTGGGTTGGATTAAGTTTTATGAGGGGGGGGTTTAAAAAAATAGTTTAACAAAAGTTAAGATTTGAAATTTCAAGTAATTCCAGAATAACATTCAATAGAAAAGCTTTTACTTAAGAGAACTTTAGAGCTTTTCTGTTTTCAGGTAATTAGCTCTGAGTTAAAGCTTTTCTTGGTTATGTACTTCATTCAGGTGAAGCCGGCGACTGTGTTCTTTTGGATTCAAGGGATCAAATGTGGAAATTGACTCCGTGCTCTCGAAATCTCACGTATTTGTGTGCTGCTCAACCAGTCGCCAGCACTACAACTCTTCAACCGATCACACAATCCACAAGCAGAACGTTGAGCTCAACAGCAGCTCAGATCACCACAGCAATGAATAATTTAACTTGTCTTCCTGGTGGGTATTGCTCACTAGTTCAGAAAATTTCGAGACTAGTTCAGCAAATCGACAACCACTTTACAACTGTGCCAAAGGATGGCAATATTTCTCGGATCACTATTACATGGTTCTTCAGATATCAGCCATTTTTTTTGTAAAATTGTACCCTTAGAAATTCTAAGTTAAAATCGATGCCTCACCTCATTGAGGCATCGAGGCCTTTACCTTGCCCGACTCGACCCCAACAACAGGACGGCATGGCCAAGTGGTTAGCGCGCTCGTATCTAAGGACGCCCCCAGAGTGGAGGGCTCGGGTTCGTCTCCTGGGAGAGTTCTTCAAACTTTTTTTATTGAAACACACCAACTTTGGGCTGGTTAGAAGGCCTTGGGTGATAAGCCAACGTTGAGCCGCTGATAAGAGCCGCCTTGAGGTGGCTGTTATCAGCTTCTTGACACAATTACTGAAATACACTAAACTAGAGGTAATGCTGGTTTTGTTATGAAAAGGAGGATTCTAACTACTTTCCTGCAATCTGCATAGTTGAAACATTATTCTCATAGGTGCTATTCGACATGACATACGACGATGGAGAAACGGCGTGTCGATCATATGGATCTCATTTGGCATCGATTCACAGCTCAGCCGAGAACGACTTTATTACGAGTCAACTTTTCCATTCAAAGTCTCTAAGTTTTCTCTCAATTCAGAGCTCTGCTGCGAATCGGCTTGCGATGATACCGATCACAATGGTCTATTTGCTGGAATCTATCTGACTGGTGGAACATTTGTGAGTAAATGAAGAAAAATATTTGATATTTTATTTAAATTCAGTCAAATGGGGTCTTAACGTGGACTGACGGAAGTCAAAGCGATTATCAGCATCAAAAATGCTTCGGAGATCCATATGCTCTCAATCAACTCGTAATTGTGAGTAGATTTGAATGATCTTGTGACACCGAAGGCCAGGAATCAGTTTCTTTAGCAAATTTATTCCATGATATCTTGAGTACCTCTATTTACAAGCCGCTTTCGTCAACATTCCCATTTAGATTGAGAACACAAATCTGTGTGATGGGGATCGTTGTGCTCGCGGCGATTGGGGTCTCACGACGTTGAATGACGAGGACGAATGGCCGTATATCGTCTGTAAAAGAAGCTAATCGTCATCGAAATCTGTAAATAACTCCAAAATCCTTCAGAATAAACATCAAAATCGGGATTCATAGACAATTTGAAAAATTCTCAAAATTTCAACAGATTTACTGTTTGATTCGAAGAAAACCCTTGCTTCTTAAACTCCTCGGCTTAGCGCAAGTGGTGAACTTCAACTTGGAATCATTGAAAGCAATTCTATACAGATTAACTACATTTCCTCTTTAGCCGTAAAACTTCAGCACTTCTTGAAAGAAAGCAAAAGAAAAAACGAGAGTGGGGACCGAAATTCTGGAAACGAACGTTCTACCACACGGCTGCACCGAAGGAGGCCGCTAAGACCCAAATGACCACATTTTCAGAGTCCTAACAAAACTTTAGGCTCTTATAACTCCCAGAAGATTGTCATTTAGCAAAAACGGAATTTATATTCGGAATTAGCATAAAATTCTGCGCTGGATGGTCTATGCGACTTTTGGATTTGGCCGGCTCAGCCAGTTGACCTTCCCTTACCAGTTTCTAGAACAGCTATCAATGTGAAAATTGTTTCATTGAAAAGTCAAGAATGTCAGTTTTTATACATAGCGACTTTAGCGACTTTTAATGCACATCATAAACCTTATCGATACTTATCAACATCGAAAGTATCGATTATCGATAAACTTCTCAATATTTGAGTATCGATAAGTATTGATAAGCTTTTTAAGGAACTCATCTATGATAATTTGCTATGTGTGAGATAACAATTAAAAGCTGGCATTCTTGGCTTTCCAATGAAACAATTTCCAGCTTGATAGCTTTACTAGAAACCGAGATCTGAACGGTTAAATATGAGGATGCCGTTTGAATCGATAATATCGATAAGCAAGTCTAGTCCGACCACCACACCACTAATTTTTTTTTTGTACTTTTTATTTTTAAATTGAAAAAACATTGAACTTTAGAGAGAATGTTAGTTTTTTTGAAACTAAGAAAACTGAAATGTTGTTGATTTTCTGATTTTTTTAAGATGTTTCAAAAAGACAAATATTTTCTGATGACTGTATTGGATCGTGAAAAACAAAGTTTTTCTAAAGTTCACCACACGTCTAGACAACAGAAATTCTCTAAAAATTGTATCTTTGTGACTTTCAGGAGTGGAAGATGATTGGCTGTATTGGATTGTGAGAAACTAGTGGGGCACAAATTAGAGAGAGAACGGATATGCTTGGGTAATGGGGAAAGGGAAAGGAAAAAAAAGAAATCGAGCATATTGAAGTTAAGCTATAAAACAAGAGTATTTCAGAGATGAGCCGGTGAAAACTTGTGCTCGATCGACTTGTCCTACTCCATCGGTTAGTCTATAGTGAGGGTGCAAATATGAGCATTGTATTTTGGGTCTTATAATTTTGTATTGTTATTTTGTATTATATTTATCAATCGGTACTCAAATATTGATAGGTTTATCGATAAGGTTTATGATGTGCTTTAAAAGTCGCTATATATAAAATAGCAATCAAAAGCTGACATTCTTGACTTTTCAATGAAACAATTTTCACATTGATAGCTCTTCTAGAAACTGGTAAGGGAAGGTCAATTGGCTGAGCCGGCCAAATCCAAAAGTCGCATAGACCATCCAGCGCAGAATTTTATGCTAATTCCGAATATAAATTCCGTTTTTGCTAAATGACAATCTACCGGGAGTTATAAGAGCCTAAAGTTTTGTTAGGACTCTGAAAATGTGGTCTTTGGGTCTTAGCGGCCTCCTTCGGTGCAGCCGGCGCATAGACCATTTTGGGTGCATTTTACTGCTCTCAGTCCGGCTATCGATAAAATTGTATTCAGAAATCGTTATTGTTTTTGAAATCTTTCTTAACACGAGTTACGAAATTCCTTCCTTAAACATCTGTTTTTCTATTGTTAACAAAGTTTAGTCATCCTTTTGTTTTTCAAATTTTTAAATAAGATTTTTTTTCTTTCAGCCTAAACACAGGCAAAACAATGATTAGAATAACAAATTTTGAATGTTTTTCGTTTAAAAGCTATATAAAAGAAAGAAATTTCATTAGATTTAATACATTTTTCTTAAAAATGACTTCAATTCTTTTCACGTTAATCTGCTTGACGGTACCGGCTGTTTTGACTGCGCCAAGAAACGGTAGAAATGTTTAATTTATGGATTTCATTGCTTAGTTACCACTTGAAATCACAATTTCACTATTGTTTTATCTTTGAGTTATGAAGAAAAAGCAAGAGGCTGTTTACCAAAGCAAACTTGATTTAGCTGACTTGGTTTTAAATAGAGTATGTTTAAATAGAGTATGTTTAAATAGAGTATTTTCCAAAATTTATCGACTCGATGAGAACGGCTCTTTGGTGGGCTGAGCAACTCTTTTCAGCTCTTTGTTTCTTAAAACAAATGGGCGCCATTCATCGAGGTGTTAAACCGAGAAAGTAGGAAACTATTGGGTTGGGGACTATGACTCGGCGCCGAAAATCAAAAAAATGTCTAAAACTTCTATTCGACTTCGTCAAATAATATGCGTTTGATATGAGTAGAATGGTTAACTAATTCTCTACAAAATTACATTTAAAAGAAAATTCAAACAGCGCCTCCGCTCAAGAAAAAGCCATTTTTTCACAAAAACTACAAACTGTGATCTAGAAAAAACCATTGGTGGGATCTTCCTGCAAATTTGGCAACTTAAGTAATTGAATGTGCTCTATCTTTTTTATATAAACACCAAAGAAGGTTTATGTGAAAGAAACTGTTCAAATGATGAGTCGGGCTCTTTGCCATTTTGACTAGCTGTGTTTGGGAGTCCATAAACTCCACGAAAGAAAAGCTTTGTGGAATCTCTCAAAAGTCATTTTGTAGAGAAATAGTGGATCCTTTTGATGAAACCAAAGGTATATTTAAAGAAGGCTTTATGTGTGCAAAAAAGTCCCTTTAAAGTTTGGCGCCGAGTCATAGTCCCCAACCCAATAAAAGATCATTCATATTCTTTTAGCATTAGAGTGTGTTCCTCGCGAGTAATGCGTTTTTTAAAAACGCACACTTGGGAAAAAACTACCGTACTTTTAGCGAAAATTATTGCAAAAAATGACGCAAAAATGACGCAGCCCCGCATTAAATACGACACTTTTTAAAGATACTCAACCGTTTAACTGATTTGGTGAGAAATTCCCTTCCAATGTAAACGATGATTTTTTTTTTGAAAAAATTGCTTTTATATTTTTTTTCGCGCAGGCGCACTTTTTAGAAAACGCATTACTCGACAATTACTCGAGTAAAAAATTACTCATGCAAATCTACTCGAGTAATTACTTACTCGCGAGGAATACACTCTAGTTTTAAATCACAAAACTCAAGAAAATTCTTAGATTCATTCCCGAAAACTAACTTCTTTTTGCTTTTACATAAAATTATAAAAGCTTTAGGTCGTCAAATCACGCCAAGCACACCCTCAATTGTCACCGATTCGATTATTATCGATCCGATTGTCACCGATTCGATTGTCATCGATCCGATTGTCACATATTCAATTGATGGATCGATCACTGATCCATCAATTCAGCCATGTCCATTGTCCATGTGTCCGCATCCAGGAATGAGACTTCCTGATGAATCTTCTTCAACAAGCCCCTGCTATTGTCCCCCACTTCCTGATCCGATGATCGTTGAGTACACAACAACAATGATCCCTCTTCCATAGAATTTGAAAGAATATTCTGTGTTGCAAATAAAGATTTGCTTGAATAATTGTTGCGTAGATATTTTTGATTTCTCTAGAAAGTTCTTGTACTCCACAGAAAATAAATCAATTCAAGTTTAAGAGTTTATTTCTAGTTCTGCTCATAAACATAGCTTTTGGCTTTTTCTTTATCCCTGCTGATCACTAAAAAAAAAACAATAGTGGAATGTAAATTTCAAGTAATAAAAGCTATAAATTAAACATTTCGACCCTTCTGGTACATACATAAATACTTAATATTTCTACCGTTTTTGAGCGCAGCCAAAACAGCCAGCCCCGTCAAGCAAATCAACTTGAAAAGAATTGAAGTCATTTTGAGAAAAATACCACAGGGTGACCAAGAATTACCGCAACACATAAAGAGGTCTGGCTTTTAACCAAATATGCAACCCATCTCGAAAAGTTAACTTAAATATCTTTATTCAACATATAACCGATTGGTTAGGGTTTAATCTTAGACGACCGCGCACTTTCTTGACATTAGCCGGAGTAACCGCTGTTCGTTTTGCACCTCTTCCAGGATCAGAAGATCAGAAACTGTGCCCAGAGTTTCATAACGTTGAATGGTTCGAGAAACGAGGCTCCTGGGGACATTCAGGCGCTTTGTGATCTCGCTCGCCTGAACACGCTGCCGCTTGAGCTTAAGGATCGATTGTCGATGTGGAGACGCTTTCTTGAAAACAACCATACTGTTGTATTGTTGTTGTTGTTGAAGTTGAGGTATTGAAGTATTGAAGTATTGAAAGTTGGTAATCATACCATAAAATAAGAAAAATACACAAAAACCATAAAAACAGGTAAGCAAAAAGTGAGATGGGGCTCATAACATAATACGACGTTGTTGCGGTAATTCTTGATCACCCTGTAGATTGAATCTAATGAAAGTTCTACCTTTTATATAGCTTTCCAACAGAACAAAACAACATTGATAAGCAGATTGAGAGATTTTGTACTAATACACACATATTCACTTTAAATCTGCACCCTCACTATAGACTTGATATTTAGAGAATTGAAGCCTGAGTTTTTGCCTACATTTCTGTACGAAAAGATCTTTGATTAGCGTTTTGCAGCACATTTTTCAGACCCTCAAATGATCCCAATCCGGCAGGCTTCCATTTTTATCTGTTTTCTAACTAAGAAAAATTTCCTCTGAGTCCATCAAAAGATCTTTTTCTTCTTGCTATCACTACTTAAAAGTATTCAAGAATGATTAAAGTTACAGCTTTTATTATCTTTCTTTGGCTTTTATTCACAATTTAACAGTTAACTTAAAAATTACTTGCTTTTTTCCAATCTTTTAAGAAAGATCAATGAATCAAAGAAAAAAGATTGAGCCTCAATCGCTCTAAAAATCAAAAGAGAACAGTGGAATGGGAGAAATTAGAGAAAGGTGATTGAATCGAAAAAAAAAACAAGGAACGCACAGCTGTTGCAGAGGAAAATGGGAAGGAAAGTAGGAAGAGAAATCACCGAAAGGAGCTTTTTTTTTTGGGAATCGGTTGAAAGGATTGGACTTAAAGCATTGACTCTCGATGATTCCTCCTTGTTTACGGGAGATGGTTCTCTTTTTGATCTTTCAATCCATTCAATATTGTTTTTAAAAATTTTACGAGTTAATTAACGTATTTTGTTTTCAGAGATTTAAAATTTGAAGCTTTCAAGCTTATAAATTTACTCTGAACATAACTTATTCCCAATATTTTTCAAGTGTATAAGAATTTGTTTACAAGAGTACAAAGTATACCTAAAAGGCACTTACCGTAAATACTGTGTACCCCATCCCCCTCGTACAGTCGCGTAGTCGCAAAAGTTTTTTAGTATTTCATTTCAAAGCACCCGTACTTTCAAAAAAATGCGTCTTTGGTATGAAAAAATAGCCCTGAATTTCAGCTATTTTTTGATAACTAAGCGCGCATTGTAGCATAAACCAGTGTCGAGAAAAACTCGTTCAAAACTAGACTACGCAACACTCCGCACCGTCATTAACGGGCTGGGGTACTATTACAGTATTTACGGTAATTTACTAATAATTATACTTGGAATCTTGCTTAAGGTATTCTTAGAGCATTTCCTATTTTAACTACTCGAACTACCTATTCCATAGTTAAGAAATCTTTCTTCAACATTCAACATTGATTGTTCTGAGCTCTGATTTAACCCTGTTTTCTGTTTATTGTTCTTTTTTGATTGAAAGCTTTTCTTCACTTTGTTTCAAATATTCAATTAAACGTTCAACGAAGCACGTGTGTGGCTGACTGGTTAAGTGTCTTTTATCTTAATCGGAAGGTCGAGGGTTCGAACCCCACATGCGACATGGTCACCCCCTTCGGATTTCCTTTCCCTTCGGGTTGAGAGGTTTTCTGGAGGGCAGTCTGGTGGTTGTGGCCCCAGTTCTTTAAAGTGACAAGCCACTCCTTCATCGTCATCTTCCCTTCACCACCAAAAAAGCTATTTAGTTCCCCATTGAGCTTAGGGTTAGGGAGCCGTCTGTCATGACGTGGGTTAAGTTAAGATATAGCCTAGTATTGTGTGTGTCGTTGTATTGTGATTGATATATTTCGTGTATGCGATAAATTCACCACTGGTAGCCCCAGTCGGTATTTTTTAAAAAAAACGCACCAACTTATTTGAATCGTATATCTCAGAAAAATAATGAGAAAACGATTGTGTCAGAGATTGCGTTGATGAGTACACAAAGTACATGCTTTACTTCATTCATTTGTCATTACTCAAAAGCATAATCTTTCAAATACAATTTATATATTTTGGCCTCACTAAAAAGCCTTATTTAGGCATTGAATTCAATCTTTGAACTTGAACGGAATCATCATTTTTTTTTAAAGAAGTGTGGGAACAGTTGCAAACAAGGCTTATCTCGTTTCCATTTTCTTTCTAAAACCTCTTTTTCCCTATTCATTCTCATTTTGTTAAATGTTATTGTTTATTTTTGCAAAAGAAATACTTTGTTTTATGCAAAAAATGAGTTCAAGAAAGACCAAGAAAAGCCATTTTTACCTTAAAATCTCTGGGGGTGGCTACTTTGCGCCAAATTTTTTGCGCAACTCTCCATAACTTTCTTCTAAGTCGGTCAATCTTTATGATTTTGGTGTCATTTTGTTGCACTTATTGAGATCTACAAAATGACACCAAAATCATAAAGATTGGCTCACTTAGAAGAAAGTTATAGCGAGTTGCGCAAAGACCCACAGGCCGAAAAAGTTGGCGCCAAGTAGCCACCCCCAAATCTCTTTAGTTTTATCAATTTCTGCTTTCTCTATCTTTTTTGAATCCATTTCATGTTCTTACAGCTTTTTATCTTGAACTTGTTATCTCTATTTTTTCAGAAATGTTTTCGAAAGGATTTTCCCCAAGTTGCTCGAGCATTTCACAACTCATCTCGACTCGACGCAAGCGCCATTCGAACACATCTCATTCCTGGAGTCAGGGTGGGTAAATTTTGTGGAAAACTTTTTAATTAAAGTAATTTAATTGAGAAAATTTTGATCAAAACTCTTTAATTTACCTTAAATACTGTAATAGTACCCCACCGCCCTCGTACAGTCGCGTAGTCGCAAAAATTTTTAGTATTTCATTTCAAAGCGCCCGTACTTTCAAAAAATGTGTCTTTGTTATGAAAAAATAGCCCTGAATTTCAGCTATTTTTTGATACCTAAGCGCGCATTGTAGCATAAACTAGTGTCGAGAAAAACTCGTTCAAAGCTAGACTACGCAACACTCCGCCCCGTCATTATGGGGGTGGGGTACTATTACAGTATTTACGGTAAATAATTTTGGTTTAAAAATTGTGCATATTGAATCAAATTTGCCCAATAATTTATCTCTTTGTTAGTGGATTTCGTGGTTTTATCTGTTAGACATTTAATGAACCTTTATTAGATCTTTATTGAACATTTATTGAACATTTATTGGACATTTATTGGACAATTATTGAAAAAATTCTACATTATTTGTTTAGCATAGTTTAGATTCTATTAATTTATTGACTTTTTCATTTTTAGAAGACACAAGCGAAATATGGTGGTCGACATCGTTGTACTGTGCTTCCTGGTGATGGAATCGGACCGGAAATGTTTGATCATTTGAAGAAAATCTTTATCGCTTGTCATGTAAGTGATTGTAGATCTTGGAATAATATTTTTGATCAATTTACAGGCTCCAATCGATTTTGAGGTTGTTCAAGTGAGCTCAAGCCTTCAAAGCGGTGACATGGAGGCGGCGCTGACCGCTATTCAAAGAAATGGAGTCGGGATCAAGGTTTGTAGAGTTTAAAGCTCAATTTACATTTTTTTTAAAATTATTTTCTTTTAGGGAAACATCGAAACGAAACACCACGATGCGACGTTCAAATCGCGAAATGTCGAGTTAAGACACCGAATGGATCTTTACGCAAATATCCTCCATTGTGTCTCGATTCCAACAATCCCAACAAGACATAATGTAAGTTTTGATTGAAAATAGTTTTCATTTATTTTTCAGAACATCGATATTGTGATTATTCGAGAGAATACTGAGGGAGAATATTCGGGATTAGAACACGAGTCTATTCCGGGAGTCGTTGAGAGTATCAAGGTGAAAATGTTTTAAACTTTAAAACAACAGTCTAAAAATTGAGAACTTAAAAGCTTTAAGGTTTTGGATCATTAACTCATTCCAAATCATTGGATTAGATCATTAAATCATGCCAGATCATTAGATTAGATCATTAAATCATGCCATGTCATTAGATTAGCTCATTAAATCATTTCAGATCATTAGATTAGCTCATTAAATCATTTCAGATCACTGGATTAGATCATTAAATCATGCCAGATCATTACATTAGATCATTATGTCATTACATTAGATCATTAGATCATTAGATTAGATCATTAAATCATTTCATTTGAATCATTTCAGATTGTCACTCAAGGAAAGATCGAGCGAATCTCGAGAATGGCCTTTGAATATGCGAAGGTTTGAACATAAACGTGATATTCTTTAAAGTTAATATGAATTATGAATTCTAGTTAAAGTTAGAGATGTGTTAAATTATAAATAAAGTTTTTAAAGTGTATATTCAGATTAATAAACGAAAGAAGGTCACCGCGGTGCACAAAGCTAATATTCAGAAGCTTGGCGATGGACTTTTTCTCAAAGTATGGGAAGTTATAGCTTTGTATTCACTTTGGAAACATGTTATAATATTGTAATCTCTAATACAATATAATATAATACTTTATGCTATTCCAGGTTGCTAAGGAAATGGCTGCAAAACACTATCCGGAGATCAAATTTGAGAGCATGATCGTTGACAATGCATCGATGCAATTGGTAGGAAGAAAAGTTTTACAAAAACTTTTAACTTTTAACTAACTTTTTAAAAGATTTGTAAGAATAATTTTAAAGTAAATTTTCAAACCAAAATTGAAAGTGAACTTAAAACAATCGTTTTCTTTTAGGTAGCTAAACCGCAACAATTCGATGTGATGTTGATGCCAAATCTCTACGGAAATATCATCTCAAATATCGCTTGTGGATTAATTGGAGGTATTTTCGCAACAATTTTTAAAAAATCAACTTTCCAGGCCCTGGTCTCGTCTCTGGAATGAACATCGGAGACAAATATGCTGTTTTTGAGACTGTGAGCACTGAAATACTATAAAAAAAATCAGCATAGTATGGTAATAATATTAATCGTTATTATAAGAACCAAAAACTTTTTGAATTATTTATTTAGGGCACGAGAAATACAGGAAGTTCTTTGGTGGGCAAAGATGTCGCCAATCCGACAGCTTTCATTCGAGCTGGAGTCGACATGTTGAGGTGACAATTGAGAATCATTAAAGTTTTCAGATTAAGTTCAATTTTATACGTAACTAGGACATTTATCAGCCAAAAAATGAAACAAATCCTTTCAGATATCTTGGCTGTGACTCGCACGCAAATATCATTTCAGACGCTTTGTGGAAAACGTTGACCGTTGATGGAATCCATACGCCTGATTTGAAAGGAACTGGAAAGGTGAATGGAAACAGGAAGTTCAAAATTTATCTTTAAGCTAAAGCTTTGTAATCTAATGAAACTTTTATAACGCTTGCGCGCGCGCGGCGCGAAGAAATAGTTGCATAGTGTAGCGGATAACATGTCGGAATGCAAAGCTCTAGATCAGGGGTTCGACTTCCCTTAAGTTTTTCTTTTGAACAGCTGTTTTATAGTGATCCCTGATCTGCCTTCCCTGATCCGAAAACAAAATTTATCTTTAAGCTAAAGCTTTGTAATCTAATGAAACTTAGAAATGCTAAGCAAATTGATAAAATTCTTCAGCTGCTGTTGAATTCTTCAATCCAGATCTTCAGCCTCATTTGATCCAGCTTTATAATCAAAATTTTCATTTTACAGTCCTCTTAGAACCTTGAATAATATTTTGAAAGTTTTAAGCTCTTTGAACTTTATAAACTTTACTTTCGAACTTTATAAATAGCTTTAGCTTGAAGTTTTAAAACTTATCAAATCGCCCAATCTTTTTACTGCCATTTCAGACAAGCGAGATGGTGCGAGCGACGATCAAAAATATTCGCGAATTGCAGCATTAAAATCTTTGTAAATATTGATTGATAAAAGAAGTTAGTAAATAGATTGAACTAATCTCGAAAAATTCACTGAACACTGTCAAACACTGTGAAACTTTAATATGAAGTCAAGGTATTTCTTTGAAACAGTAAACGGCTTTTTAGAGTCCCTTCTGCAGTTTATCAAGCCCAACTTTTTAAGTCTAAGGAATTTGATTTATGGCTTTGAAGGTATTCAGTTAAACAGCTAAATTCAAGAGTTCCGGTGCTTCAATTAAACAATTGAATATTTAGACTAGACTGTGAGACTATTTATTTAGTTTTTTTTGCCCCTATAGGAGCTTTCCAAAAATTGCCTGGGAGGCGACCCACTACGGATCAAAAATTAAAACAGGTAGCAGGGTTGGTTTGACTTTTTTCGACGTGGGTTTTTTCGGGGATAGGCCAAAAGCCCAGCCGTCGCGCCCTTTCCCAAACGACCGGTTTTCAGCCTGATTCTCGTTGAATTTTGCTCCTTTTCTGTTATCGAATGATGCCAAATGGTGAATGTTATGATTTTCCGCGCACAAAACACGCATAAACATCATCGTTCTTTTGAAAGTGCCATTGATGAAGGAAAGAAGGAAGGAAATCGGGGGAAGAGGAGAGAACAGAAAAGACAATCCAAGCTATTTTCAATCTTTCTTTTAGCTAATGGAGCTTGTGAAATATAGGCAGATTGTCCTGAATACCATAGTCAAAAGTATAAGAAATCTTTTTTTCAACATTCAACATTGGTTAAAATTTGTTTTGTTCTGTTTTCTGATTGCAACTTTCCACATAACTTCTTTCTTTTCAACTATCCAACTAAAACTCAAATGACAATAACTTTTGTAGCTTCGAAAAGTTAACATTTGTATCTTTTGACTTTTAGTCAAATAACAATGCCATTATCGTTTCCAAGTTATTCATTTAATAAAACAATGTTGGTCAAATTTTTTGGCGTTGGTTTTGGTAGACCGAAAGCTTGGATGTTGAAGGATTTCAAAAATAGCCTTGAGAGGCGCAAAAAGCAGCGTTAACTGGCACTCTATTCTGGGCATTACTCCGATTGACTCCAAACCGTTGAAACGATTGTCTACTTTTTAGACAAACGACTATCAATCAACCAACCACCGCGCTTTTCTCTGATGACCGCCTTTAGTCCAATTTTGCTTTGATTTTGACTCTCTTCTGTTATCAAATTTTACTAGATGGGTAATGTTATCATTTTATCTTTAAAGAATGCACAAAAAGCGCTCATTTGCCTCAAGTAAACCAGTAATGAGATCAATTGGACCATTAATGTAAAGAAGGATTGAAAATGAAAACTGATTTTGAGATTTTGAACTTGATTCATTTTCACCCAGTTTAGGAGCGCTTCTAAAAATTACCCTGACTAGGAATGTACACAGATTTGACCACTGCCTTCAGCCACACGAAAACAAACCCTAATTTTTCAAATTCAGAAATTTTTTTCCAGTAAAATTGATGTTGTCGTTTCGCTGAAGGCGATGATCAATCTGTGTGCATTCCTAGTGAGATTTATAGGCTCTTTTTCTTATAAAGATTTAGATAAAACCACCATAAAGGTCTTCTTTCAATGCAATGACATTCTATCAATGATATAATGTTGAATTGTTTCAATTAGGCAATTAAATATTTAGACTAGACTGTGAGACAATTTCTTTTGTTTATTTGAAAGTTTTTTGCCCCTTATAGGAGCTTTGCAAAAATTGCCTGGGAGGCGACCCACTACGGCTCAAAAATTAAAACTGGTAGCAGGGTTGGTTTGACTTTTTTCGACGTGGGTTCTTTTCGATGATAGGCCAAAAGCCCAGCCGTCGCGCCCTTTCCCAAACGACCGGTTTTCGGCCTGATTCTCGTTAGATTTTGCTCCCTTTCTGTTATCAAATGATGCCAAATGGTGAATGTTATGATTTTCCGCGCAAAAAGCACGCATAAACATCATCTTTCTTTTGAAAGTGCCATTGATGAAGGAAAGAAGGAAGGAAATCGGGGGAAGAGGAGGGAACAGAAAAGGCAATCCAAGCAATGTTCAATATTTCTTTCAGCTAATGGAGCTTGTGAAATATAGGCAGATTGCCAGGATCTATTGAAAAATAAATCATATTTATATTTTAGATTTTATTGTGGTTCAATGGTAGAGTTAGTTTTATCATATTCAGTCATGAGAAAACGAAAAATTGATTTTTTTCTTTTAGTTTCCTTTTTGAGTTGAAAGAATTCTTTATCCAATAATCAATCACAATCGCTGCCATCAGCGCAAAAAGAAATACAAAGCGATCCGCTGCATTTCCATGTGATATCCTTGTTGGCGCAAAATGCCTGATTATTGGCCGAGCACCAGCCAAAGTTCCCCGAATTTGTCGTCTCAAAAGGAGGAAATGTTGAATAGGAAATATTTATGAATTGATTAAGAGACATTAAACCATTCTCAGTAATTTTAACAAGATTTAGCATAAACCATTCTTTCACATCAATCACTCACCTCACAACACTTCAGCAGCGAGGCAATCGGCGTCTTACTCGCGCAGGCTTTGTTACACTCTGACATGTATCGAATCCAATGAACACCTGACGGTTCGGTGGAAAGAATGCCGCCTGCAAGAATTTAATATTATAAGAAAACTAAGGTTGAATTTCATATTGATTGCTTGACTAGAAAAGAGTTATGGTATTACCGTATTTTCTCTAATAGTAGTGCACCCGCCGAGCCGAGTTGATGACTATTTTACGGCTTTCAAAGTTTTCACACAAGCTCAACACTCTAATGAGGATTAGATATAGCTCAATATAGCTTCAGAAAAGCTCAAGTTAATGTCCGCGATTGTTTGATATATGTAGAGCTATACTCAAATGCCGGATTTTCTCTAATAGTAGTGCACCCCAGCGAGCCGATTTAATGACTATTTTACGGCTTTCAAAGTTTTCACGCAAGCTCAACACTCAAATTTCCTACAAGCCAGCTACATTTTCCGACCCCACATCGATGGGTTCTGATAAGCGGTTCTCGAGATTTCTAGATTTCGAGATTGGCAACGCTCTTGGTGTACTACTATTAGAGAAAATACGGTAACTGATTCACTTTTTGCTATTGTAATATATATGTTATATCCGATTTAGACTCAGTTTTAACAATTGCTTCGTTGGTAAATCATGTTTTTCTCATTTTTGACAGTTTTTGATGCAATTTGACAGCAGTAGATCAAAAATTAAAAGTACCGTATTTTCTCTAATAGTAGTGCACCCCGAGCCGAGTTGGTGACGATTTTACGGTTTCGAAGTTTTCCCAGATGCTCAACACTCAAATCCCCGACTAGATCTCATCGTCAGCTACATTTTCCGACCCCACATCGATAGGTTCTGATAAGCGGTTCTCGAGATTTCGAGGAATTTAGGCGACGCTCAGGGTGCAATATTATTAGAGAAAATACGGTTTAGTTTATCTAGTATCTAAGTCCAGACCTGTTTCTGAGCAAATCCAGAAATCAAACCAGCGATCTAACTCTAGTTTTATCTGGTTTTTCTGAAATTTTGCATACCGTATTCTCTCTAATAGTAGTGCACCCGGTCGAGCCGAGTTGATGACTATTTTACAGCTTCTAAAGTTTTCACAGAAGCTCAACACTCTAATCCCCTGCAAGATCTCATCGTCAGCTACATTTTCCGACCCCACATCGATAGGTTCTGATAAGCGGTTCTCGAGATTTCGAGCAATTTAGGCAACGCTCAGGATGTACTACTATTAGAGAGAATACGGTATATAAGGCGACCCTTTTCTTCACTTTCCACAAGTGAATTATTGTTTGTATCAATAATCGTTCTTTTGATCACATTCAAGACACAAGTTATCAAGAAAAAGTTTAAATACGAGTACAAATCGCCAGGAAACCCCTAATTACAATCTTTTAAACACCAACTAAAGAGTCAATGCACATGAAATGTTAGTATTCTTTCAAGAGGCGATTTTTAACCCAATTTAATAGTAAGGTTTTCGAGATTTCGAGTAATTTAGGCATTGCTCAGGGCTATTACTACTATTAGAGAAAATACGGTACTTAATATATCTACGCAAAACCAAAACAGCCAGCACCGTCAAGCAAATCAACGTGAAAAGAATTGAAGTCATTTTGAGAAAAATGTATTGAATCTAATGAAAGTTCTGCCTTTTATATAGCTTTCCAACAGAACAAAACAACATGGATAAGGAGATTGAGGGATTTTGTACAATACACACATATTCAATTCAAATCTGCACCCTCACTATAGAATTGACATTTAGAGGATTGAAGAATTGAAGCCTGAGTTTTTGCCTACATTTCTGGACGAAAAGATCTTTGATTAGAGTTTTGTAGCACATTTTTCAGACCCTCAAATGATCCCAATCCGGCAGGCTTCCATTTTTATCCGTTTTCTAACTAAGAAAATTTTTCTCTGAGTCTATCAAAAGATCTTTTTCTTCTTGCTATCACTATTTAAAAGTATTCAAGAATGACTAAAGTTACAGCTTTTATTACGGGTCTATCCCAAAACAGCGCCGCCAAAACAGCGCCGTACCCAAAACAGCCCCACCCAAAACAGCGCCAATGCAAAAACGCCCAAAACAGCGACGAGCAAAAAAAAATTATTTTTTAGATTTTTGCTTTTGCTTTTTCTTTGCTGTTTTTAACTTTTTCTGCCCACTTTTTGTGTTTTTAGGGTAAAAAAAAGGCGGAGAATCCGATTTTTTTAAGCTTTACGAAAAATGTATTGAATCTAATAGAGAGAATAAGGTAGGTTGTGTTGTCAAAAAAATCAGAAAATCAAAAATGAATCTGTATAAAAAATTTTTCGAGTAAAAACTTGTGAATCACATGAACTTTGGGGGTCGACTTTGTATCTAAAAAAGCTTTGAAAAGACAAAACTACTGACCGACGAGCGCGATCAACAACCAGAGCCTGGTCTTCATTTTGGCAAAGATGGCTGAGAGTGAATAGAATTGATTCACAAAATGAGATTCACTCACAAATCATCACCCGCTTATATACATCAGATTAACATCAAACTTCAGCTCTATCACTCACCAAAAAAACGTCCCAAATACACCCCCGTTCTATCGCCATTTGGGCCATTTTTGAGCCCATTTTTGCCCTCAAACTTTCACTCTATTGAACATTTTTATTGAAAAAAAACAATTGTTGACCGTTTCCCTGCACTGGATTTCAATTTTGAATATTCTCAATGTAGTTCCAATGGATTGAATTCACGACTTGTGACCACCTTTTGCACTCACCGTGTTTTTGTGATTGCCTGGCGCTCAAAAAGTAGACTATTTTAATCAACTTTCAATCCGTGACCATGTGTTTACTAAGAAAATCTTTTCATAAATGAAAATTTGCTTTTGGTTAGCTTTAAAGAATCATCAGCAAAAGCTTGGCCTTTTACTAGCCCAGCCTTTTTTCAGCTTTGAATCAAAAGCCTAAAAAATATTCATAAAAGATCGGTCCACTATTTATTGTCGAAATTTCTCTAACATGATTGTTAAGTTAATTTAAAAATGAAAATTTTCTTGCATTGTTTTTATTTTTGATTGCTGACCGTTTCCCTGCACTGGATTTTAATTTTGAATGTTCCCAATGTTAGTTCCAATGGATTGGATTTATTTTATTTTATTCTCTCCTCTTCCCCCGATTTCCTTCCTTGGTGAATCATCAATGGCACTTTCCAAAGAACGATGATGTTTATGCGTGCTTTGTGCGCGGAAAATCATAACATTCACCATTTGGCATCATTCGATAACAGAAATGGAGCAAAATCCAACGAGAAGCAGGCCGAAAACCGGTCGTTTGGGAAAGGGCGCGACGGCTGGGCCTTTGGCCTATCCAAGAACCCACGTCGAAAAAAAGTCAAACTATCCCTGCTACCTGCAGCGAATCGCTTTGTATTTCTTCTTGCGATTTCGATTTGTAGTGGGTCGCCTCCCAGGCAATTTTTGGAAAGCTCCTATAAGGGGCAAAAAAACTTTCAAATAAACAAAAGAAATTGTCTCACAGTCTAGTCTAAACATTCAATTGTCTCATTGAAACAATTCAACATTTTGTCTTTGCTCTGATTTGGTTTTTAAATTGTTAAATAAAGTGTTGATGTTTATTGCTCAAAATTGAAAGTACAAAAGTGATTTTAAAGCTTAATACAACATTGCGTTGTCTCTGATGATCGGGGCGAGTTGAACGGATGAGGAGAGACTTCTCGAAGATCTAAAAGAGATCATAATTTTGGTAAAGTGTAAAAAAGCTTGTTGTAGTTTTTACTAGTATAATTTTTAAGCTTTCGAACATTTTTGACTCACTCTTGAAGTGGAATGAGATCAGGCATTGAGTTCCGAAGACCGTATTCACTTTTTGGGCGTGCCAGGCATGGGGCTTTCTGAAGGAAAATTTAGAAATCAGTTGTCTGAGGTTAGCAAAAATTAATTTAAATCATAAACATGAAAAATAGATCTCTAGTCTATTCAAAGCTGAGATAAGATTGTATGAACTACCTGAAGTACAGGCTCAGGTAATCTCTGCAAAGATTTCTCCCGTCTCTTTCTTGATGTCAATCTTTTCGAGTAGGTTCTCAGCTTGACTATTGGAGAATTTTCATTGTTGATTGAAGAGGAAAAGCTGAAAGATTTCAAATTGTTAAAAGAACCATAGAAATTGGTTTGAAAGTTTTAATTGAAAGATACATATTTTTGATTTGAAACTTTGATCACATGATATTGTTGACAAAGAGTGGTAGTTTTTAGGTTTCATATTCATGCAATTTGCTTTAATTTGGGTTTAATTTGGCATAGCAATTTAATGTTTAAAAGTCTAATTCTACCTTGGAGCCGCGACGAGTTTCCTCAAATGAGCTTTTCTTTCCTCATCCACTTCTGTGTACTTGATCGTTTCACTCGTGAAAAAGCGATCGTCAGAAGCGTTGTTGATCTGAAAATTCTTCTAAACTTTTTAATTCAATAAAATCCAACCTCAACCGCCAGTTTCCCAATCAAAGTCTCGAGGCTTTCTCCTCGAATCGCCCATTCATCATCAGAGACTTCGGTTCGAATTGTGAAAATGTAAGTTGTGTCACAGCCTGAAAATTGTTTTATCTAGATTTCTATATGATAAACATTTTAATCTATAGAATTTTCAAGAGAAAAACTATATTTTTAGAAAACTTTTTCCCTCACCTTCAGCCAGAACCCTCAAAACCCCTCGAAAACAGCTCAAATCAACACTTTCCTCTTGCCGATATTTACAAGAACTCAAAACCGCGTCTTGATTTGATAAATTCACACAAGATATCGCTTTTTGATGAGGTTGACAAATCTATAACTGATTTTTCAAGATTTAAATTCAATCTACCATTAATAGATCATCAAACATGATTAAATGAAGACAAGTTCTCGAGAAACGACTCCATTCACCCGTTCCGCCAACACTTTCGATGTCACACCGATGCTGGAGACGTCTCATTGATGCAACAATTCTAGCCTGAAATTAGTTAAGCTGAAGTTGAATTCTACAATTTCGGAACCTAAAAACTATCACTTATTACCAAAATATGTATCTTTCAGTCAAAACTTGTTTTAAAAGAATCCTGTCAAAAACAGAAAAAATTTGGAACGCTTCACGAATTTTGTACATTTGCTATTTTCTATTGTACATTTGCTATTTTATCTACGATTTTATGTCTTTTCAAAGTTTCGAGCGCCCAACCCAGTGAACCTCAGAAACCTCAGTGAACCGCTTGTGGTTTCGGTGAAAATCTATCTACAACAGATTCTTGTGGATTCAACAGTAGTTGGTTGACTGATTCAATAGAATTTTGTCTTTAGAAGTGTCAAAGCTGCCTTTTAATTAGAAAAGTTTCTAAATGGTACTATAGAAGTTTCTGGCCCTTTCAATTTTAAAAAAAAACTTGCAAAAAATTTGGAACGCTTCACGAATTTGCGTGTCATCCTTGCGCAGGGGCCATGCTAATCTTCTCTGTATTGTTCCAATTTTAGTATATGTTCATAGGAATGAACGAGGGTTGGGGAAAAGGGGTCCTTTTTATGACCCCCTGTCCAGCCGTGTGCCAGAAAGCGCGCGATTATGAGGCCGCACAGAGAACAAAAAGGGAAAAAAGGAAAAGAGGGGTTTTTCGAAATTCGTAAAAAAAAGTCACCGAAAAGTTTAAACGCCAAACTTTTTCTTTACTAATACCAGTTAAATTGAAAGTTCGACTAGTTAAATTCAAAAAATTTGGAACGCTTCACGAATTTGCGTGTCATCCTTGCGCAGGGGCCATGCTAATCTTCTCTGTATTGTTCCAATTTTAGTATATGTTCATAGGAATGAACGAGGCTTGGGGAAAAGGGGTCCTTTTTATGACCCCCTGTCCAGCCGTGTGCCAGAAAGCACGCGATTATGAGGCCGTACAGAGAACAAAAGGGAAAAAAAGGGTTTTTCGAAATTTGTACAAAAAAAGTCACCGTAATTTTAAAAGACAAACTTTTTCTTTACTATTACCAGTTAAATTGAAAGTTAGACTAGTTAAATTCTTAAAAGCTTAAATCTATTTTACCGGAATGTTCTCGATTTGTCGATAAATCGCTTCCACCTCGGCATTCACGCGTTTCATTTCGTTGACTCGGCTGAATTTTCGAATAGAAATTTTAAATAATATCAAATCCTATTCAAATTCAAGTTTATAAGCAATATAACTGCAAATTTAACGATAAAATTGTAATCAAATTCTAAATACAATCAAAACTGACCTTAAAATCTCCGTAATACAAAAAACTGCTTGACGAAGTGAAGCAAAATCGGGCATATTCTCTGGAGTGTTCTTTAGAATTTCTAAAAACATTAAAGATTACTTTTTTTTTTCTGAAGTTTTAACCTTTCAAAAGCACATTTATTTTATTTGTAAGCTCTTGATAGGGAGCGGTGATTAAATCGCTAACTTTGTGTCGACCCAACATTCGATCGTTTTCACAACCCTAAAGATTGATTTAGGTATAATAATTTTAAAAAAAACTTTCTTACTTGTATGTATGCTTTGAATTTCGGATTTCTTTGTGTGAAAGCTTTCAACGATTCGAGTGAGTATTGAACACGGAAAAGATATGGCGCATAGGCTGCTTCAAGGGCTTCACTCTCTTCGATGAAGATCTGAATCATTTGTAAATTAAAAGATAATCTATCAAATCGGGGGGTGGGACAAATGCGACCTTTTTTTGCGCACCTGGACATTTGCGCACCTTTTTTTTTGCTGGAAAAGGCCTTAGAGCTTCGAAAATATTTCCATATAGGGGAATCGTATGCGTAGATTCCGAATTTCGACAAATCAGACCTCGCTGACACGTCAAATTTGGGCTAAAAGGCAAAAACTGCGGAAAAGCGTTAAGTTGCGTAGTTTTTGCCTTTTAGCCCAAATTTGACGTGTCAGCGAGGTGTGATTTGTCGAAATTCGGAATCTACGCATACGATTCCCTTATATGAAAACATTTTTGAAGCTCTACGACCTTTCCTAAGGCCTTTTCCAGCAAAAAAAAGGTCGCATTTGTCCCACCCCCATCAAATCATTTTACCTATGAAATATTAACTTTTTTTAAAAACTATTTCACCTATGTAGCCAAGAATGCAAGGAATTTTGTTGATATAAAACTTGAAAGCTTTGTTTTTGTGACAGCGCTGTTTTAAACGTTTTCTATTCGCGTTTTCCAAATCCTCAAATTCCTACATCTGTAGAATTCTTATCTAATTCATAAATAAGTAAACTATTGTTATAATGGAAGTGCTCAAAAAGGTCTTTTATGCTTTAAAAACGCTGCAAACAGTGAATCAAAAACCTATTTGACTACAGCTAAACTAATCCTATTCTTGATCACCGTAAATCTCAAAAAAAATGTTTAATAATTCTCTTAACAACAATTTTTAAGCCAAGCATTAAATCCTTTTCAACTCACAATCCCGATCACACTGTCATCAGCCCATGTAGAGAAAACTTTCGCCAACCTATCGACAATTCTCGAGTGAACCGCGTGAAGTGCCTTAAAATCTTGAATTTCAAAACTCAACACTAGTTTTTTACAACCTCTAGATTCCCAAAAACAATATCGCTTTGTGCTGGACTCAAATAAATGTTGAGATTCTTTATCTAAATAGATTTATTATGAACTTTTCAACAAACAAACTCTGATCAATGCATCCAATTTTCTCAAAGTCTCCATTTCATTTTTGTATAACTCTCCAGTTTGCGTGTATCGTTTATACTTTATCGAATCTAAATTTATAAATAAAAAGAAAAAGATTAAGCTTTCACCTGCTCGATTCGTTCTCCATTGAGTCAATTTGCGGAAACTAAAAAAGCAATTAGATTTTTATACTAGCAAACTTTTCGAGTCTCGATATCAGTGTTTCTGACAAAAAAAACCTGACTTTGAGATTTGAAATTGAGTAAAATTGGGTTTAGATAATGAAAATCAGGACTATTTTATCATAAAGAAACGTTAAGATAAGGAATCGTTTCTAAATGATTTTTTGGCTTGACCAAATCTAGCCTAGCCTAGTCTGACTAACAACCTAAACCCGAAAATCTGGTCTAAAGATCCCTTCTAAAAGCTAACCTCGTATGTGTCTTTTTCCCAGATTCGCATTGTCCCCTCCTTAACGCATCTCTTCTCATCAATTTCCCTTGTCGACTCGTCACGAAGAAGAGTTTCTCATTCGCACACCAGCCGAGATTTAGCGATTCGGTGATCCACTAAATACAATCATAAACAAAAAAACAGTATTCTAAACAAATTCAACAGCTTATGGTTCAAAATAAAACCTGATCTGTGACCACATAGTGCTGACTGTCAGCCGGGTATTCTTCTCCAAATGGCACGATCACATGAGTGGCGTCAGTAGATGATTGACAAATAGAACCACCTTAATTAAAAGTTTTATCAGAAGTATTAAATTATCCAAAAGATATTCGCCATCATTATCAATGAAGTTTTATCAGAAGCCGAATATTCAAATCAATATTATCAATAAATAAATCAACCAACCATAAGTTTCTATTAGATTTCTTTTCGAGGCCATTTCCTCTTCAGTAAATAGCGCAAAAAAGACCCGGGCACCCGCAAAACGAGGAAGCTTGCTCTTAGAAATCTAAAAAATCATTTTTAGACTCTAAATAAAAAAGAGAAAAACAAAAGTTTAATATTTTCTGAAAAGAACTTACCAAATCTGGTGTCAGTTGAAAATTCTCTTCAAAACTAGCGGCATATTCAAGAAAAACGGGCCTTACTATGGGAATTCCCAAAGAGACGCTTACCTAGAAATTTGGCTTTAAAATGAAAATAAAAATTTCAAAATTACCCGATAATTCTCATCCAGAACACTCGTCGAGACCAAAATATCCGTTTTCGGCGAAAATTTCTTCACTTTCAGTCCAGCTTCTCTTGCCAATGCTTTATAACGACGATCAATCAAACCAAAGCCCAATGAAATTATTGGAGGATTTGAATCCATTACAATAATATAATTTAGTTCAGCAAAAAATTGTTGAACTTGAAAAAAAGCTTTAACTTTTTGTGGACTTTCCGGCGCCTCTCAATGCATTCAAATTTTCAGCACTGATAAGCTTTTTTGAGAACGAAATTTGAATTTTCTTTTAGGGAAGATAAAATAACAAATTAGTCATCTTGAATTGTTGATTTGATATGAAAAACTTTAAGAGAAATATTATAAAAGAAATATTTGTGTTTATAAAAAAAAAATTCATATATAAATACTTTATTCAGAAAGAAATAAAGTGCGAAAACGACATGAAAAATGTACTAGATAAAAGATGACAAAGTTACTTAAAATGCAACGAAATAACCCTTTTAAAATCAGACACGGTGGAGATCAAATGCAACTTGTCGGGAAGGGCACTCCAAACTTTAGTCACACGATTTACGAAAAAAGCTCTAGAGGATTTAGAGAAAGCAGATTCGGGATGCAAGATAAAAGAACCACTTTTTCTTTTCTTTTGGAAACTCAAGAAATCAAGGGTTTTTCTTTAGCCTCTAATTTTCTTCAAGAAGTAAAATCTTTTCAGAAAATAGAACGAAAATCAGTTATTGGTTATTGGCATTTATTGGCTTACTCAAAAGCTTTTTAAGTAAAAGGCTTGCTTTTGAGTGACCCAATCACTAATTACATTTACTAAAATTATTGTTGATTCTGAAGTTCAAAGTTTTAAATGAAAAAAGTCGTTTAAAATAAAAGAGCCAATATCAGAAATATTATAAAATACGGGAAAATGATGGGAAAATGATTTTTTTTCTAAATAGAAATTGGTAATTTTCAAGAAATATGATTTATACTTTTAATATAATTACAGTTTACAATAAACTTTTTTTTTTGTTTTTCTTTCAATTTTGGTATCGTTTAGGTCATTTTAAGCTATTGTGAGAGCCATTTTTGTTTGCCAATTTTGGGGTAGGCTAATTTCCGCAATTTTTTTTTGCGCGACTCGCTATAGCTTTCTTCTAAGTGGGTCAATCTTTATGATTTTGGTGTCATTCTGTAGATCTCAACAAGTGTAACAAAATAACACCAAAATCATAAAGATTGGCCGACTTAGAAGAAAGTTATGGAGAGTTGCGCAAAAGACCTAGTTGCGCAAAAAAAATTAGCGGAAATTAGCCTACTCCCCATTTTTCTGAGCCAAATTAGATCCATTTAAAGTAAATGCGTTATCATTTTTTGACTTCTGAAAACGGAAATCTCAATTTCAAGCTTGTCTCTTTCACAAAAAAAAAAAAACAACTGAGAACAATTTCCCAGCAGAAAATCGAGTTAGCTACCTACAGCATAGATAAAATAAATTTTGGAGTTGAAGAAAATGCAAAACGATAGGAAATTCTTGAAAAATTTCCACGAAAATCTATTGTACATTTGCTATTTTATCTACTATTTTATGTCTTTTCAAAGTTCTTCCAACCATCGATTAAACCCAAAATAGAATCCTCTAAGCCTTAGGATTAGTTGACTCTCGCTCACCTCCAACCTTTTAAATGAAAACTTCGATTTTTCTAAAACTATACTTTCAAATGATCTTATTTGTAAGTTCGAATTTTTATTTTCAAAAGTAATTATCTAAAGTTTTAGCTTTATTTTCTACCCTTTACTTCCTCAAGTCACGAAGAGTTTCGCTTATTAGCCGATTTGCGTAAAAACTATGACCCTTTCGAGCGCCCAGTGCAAAACTCCAGTGAACCGCTTGTGGTTTCCGTGAAAATCTATCTACAACAGATTCTTGATGTGGTTGGTTGACTGATTCAATAGAATTTTGTCTTTAGAAGTGTCAAAGTTGCCTTTTAATTAGAAAAGTTTCTAAATGGTACTATAGAAGTTTACGGCCCTATTCAATTTTTTAAAAAAAACTTGCAAAAAATTTGGAACGCTTCACGAATTTGCGTGTCATCCTTGCGCAGGGGCCATGCTAATCTTCTCTGTATTGTTCCAATTTTAGTATATGTTCATAGGAATGAACGAGGCTAGGGGGAAAGGGGTCCTTTTTATGACCCCCTGTTCAGCCGTGTGCCAGAAACCGCGCGATTATGAGGCCGCACAGAGAACAAAAAGGGAAAAAGGGAAAAGGGGGGTTATTCGAAATTCGTAAAAAAAGTCACCGAAAAGTTTAAACGCCAAACTTTTTCTTTACTAATACCAGTTTGAAAGTTGGACTAGTTAAATTCAAAAAATTTGGAACGCTTCACGAATTTGCGTGTCATCCTTGCGCAGGGGCCATGCTAATCTTCTCTGTATTGTTCCAATTTTAGTATATGTTCATAGGAATGAACGAAGCTTGGAGAAAAGGGGTCCTTTTTATGACCCCCTGTCCAGCCGTGTGCCAAAAAGGGCGCGTTTACAGGGTCGAACAGAGAACAACTAAGGAAAAAAGAGAGGAGTCTTTTTCAAAACAAAGTGGACTTTTTGACTTTAGAAAAAGTTTAATTTTAGGATGAGAAGAATCAAGTGATCACAATTGTTGCCTGGATAAAATACGTGAGTTCAAAATGTTTCTCTAAACAATAAAAGCTTTGAAATCAGTTTAACCTAAACCAAAGCATCATTTAGACTTGGACAGACTATAAATTAAAGTGGGATCCAGGCGAATATGGAGGTATTAAAGACATTCGTTTTCCTGGTACAGCTAATGCAATTTGGAAACCTGATGTATTGCTGTATAACAGGTTGGCTAAAGGTTAACTTATTTCTCTAAAAACTTAGATTTCTTTGCAAAAAAAGTCTAGAATATATTTTTCTAGTGCTGATGAGAACTTTGATTCAACTTATCCAGTCAACTATGTTGTCAGTCATGATGGATCAATCATGCAAGTCCCGCCTGGAATCCTCAAACTATCATGCAAGATTGATATCACCTGGTTTCCCGTGAGCTTTAGTTTAAACTTTAGCTTTAGCTTAAGCAAGCTTAAATTCAGTTTGATACCCAAAAGTGTCACTTAAAATATGGCTCTTGGACCTATTCTGGCAACTTTATCGATCTACGAATTGAAGCACCGGATGGGAAGAAAATCGAAGATGAAGGAATGGATATGAGTTACTATGTAGAGAATGGAGAATGGACTTTGCTTGGTGAGAATCGACTTTAACAAATTGACAATGCTAACAAGTACAATTTACAAGTACAAGTACAATGATTTAGTTTCCAAAGATTTACAGAGATCTTTTACAGCTTAACAACGAGTTTCAAAAGTGGATCTGACCCCTTTGAGTTATCTTTTCAGGAATTCCTAGTACTAGAGTCGTTCTATTGGTTAAACCTTAGCCTGTCTTTCGTACTAGATTCGTTCTATTGGTTAAACCATAGCCTGTATTTCGTTCTAGAGTCGTTCTATTGGTTAAACCTTAGCCTGTCTTTAGGACTAGATTCGTTCTATTGGTTAAATCTTAGCCTGTCTTTGGTACTAGATTCGTTCTATTGGTTAAACCATATCCTGTCTTTCATACTAGAGTTGTTCTATTGGTTAAACCTTAGCCTGTCTTTCGTACTAGATTTTTTCTATAGGCTAAACCTTAGTCTGTCTTTCCTACTAGATTCGTTCTATTGGTTAAACCTTAACCTGTCTCTAGGTGTTCCTGCCCGAAACGAGAGCTATGTCTTCGATAATGAACCATATCCATCAATCTATTTCTATATTTTGATTCAAAGACGAACTCTCTATTATGGATTGAATCTAATTGTGCCGAGTCTCTTGATCAGCTTGATGACCGTTTTGGGCTTCACTTTACCACCCGATGCTGGAGAGAAGATCACTCTAGGTATAAATCTATACAGCAGCAACCAAAAGCTTAATCCATACTGCATTAAACTATACATCTATTCAAACGAATAATGTGTTACGAACAATAGGCTTAAATGTAGTGGAGAAAAATCCAGATAGATATGGAAAAAGAACCAATAAAAGAACCAATCAAGCTGACGAAATTGAACCCTTGATCTCCCGATTAAGATACAAGGCTCTTAACCAATCGGCTATGACACTTAACATTTCAGAAATCACCATTCTCCTCTCGATTTGTTTTTTCTTGAGTATGGTGGCTGAGATGACTCCGCCAACATCTGAAGCAGTACCTTTAATAGGTAAGAAGGTATCTGTAGTTATGTATGCAAATTTTGTATTTAATATGTAAGAAATTAAATTAGATATGTAAATAGAAAAAATCTAAAAGTTCAGGAGCCTATTTCTCTAGCTGTATGCTGGTGGTCTCTGCATCGGTTGTGTTCACCGTGTTAGTCTTAAATCTTCACCATCGACGACCAGAAACCCATGAAATGAGCCCATTTGTGAGTTGAATCTTTTACGAAAATATTAATGATTTTATTCAATTACAAAAATCTAGATGAGAACTTGTTTCCTTATATGGCTTCCGTGGTTGTTAATGATGAGACGTCCAGGAAATATCTCTTTCAATCGTCATCAAATTTGTGTGCAACGAGCTGAAATAAAAGCAAGGTTTACCTTTAAAAGTTATTTGAATACCGTATTCTCTCTAATAGAGGTGCACTCTTTAATAGTAGTGCACTCTCTAATAGTATTGCGGTCCAGGAGGGGGTTGAAAAAAAATAGTAGTGCACCCCCGAAAATTTGATTTTCTGTTTGCTTCTTTTTCATCTAAACCTTTTTGACTTTATGTTTATGTGACGTTTCTAAAGCTATTCAAGCAAGCAAAAGTGAGGCTTTTTTTTTTATTCATTTATTAACTATTCTTCACATGAAAAAGTTAGCAAAAAATCTAAAATTGTTGTGCAAAGTGCAAAAACATCTTTTTGTCGTTTGTCAAGACACAAATTGTCAACTCGCCGGCCCACAACTGGATGTCAAAAGGAGCCAAAGGAGTACGTGAAAGAATTGCAAGAATTTTTGAAATAAAGTTTATATCTGTCTTACTTTGGTAAATGATAAAACTCTTTAATAGTATTGCGGTCCAGGAGGGGGTTCAAAAAATAGTATTGCGCACTACTATTAGAGAGAATACGGTATTCAAGGATTTAATTCCTTTCTTTAAACTTTAAACATTTTTTCTATAAGACGATAACATTTCAGAAAGCTTGATAGCCAAAATCAAAGCCGAAAAGTCTCTGTTTTCGACAACAAAATGACAACTTCTTTTCTTCGAAATATTCGAACTTTAAAGCATGAAGACTCTTGTACATGTTCACAAAGTAAGAACTATTTTAGATTTAAATTAGATAAGACTAGGTTCAACTCCAAAATATCAACAAATGACAACATCACTGGCTTCAGGGATTTCTCGACATGGCGTTTTGGCAACGCTGAAAGCGAGAAGTTTAGAGTATAATGATTTACAAGGTTTCCTATATAATAAATTAATTATAAAGATAAACTTTTAGAAACCTCGATCTTTAGCACATTGAATAAAGGAGTTCAAAAAGCTTGCACAGAGTTGAAAACGATTTCAAATCAAATTCGAGTGATGAGGAAAAGAGTGGAAGATGATGAAAGAGTCAGGGATTTTATTGAATCAGAATTTAAGTCAGGGATTGATACCAGTTTTCAATGAAATTCGAATAAAATTTATCTATAAGCTTAGAATAATCAACACAAATAGATAAATTCAAGTTTGAACTGTGAAATTCTTGTTAAGTTGTTGTTAAGTTGTTGCTAAGTTGTTGAGATTCTTTAAAACCAGCTAGTTTAGTTGAAAATTCTTATTCTCAGGCCAATTTGATAAACCAGAAAAATCTAGAAAACTTGATAATGATAATTGGATTATATCTCACCAAATATCTCTCAAGATTTCAGGAAGAGCACGCGGCAAATGATTGGAAATTCGCGGCGATGGTTGTCGACAGATTATGCCTTTTCACATTCACCATTTTCATCGTTGTCTCAACTTGTGGAATCATGTTTTCCTCACCGCATTTGATTGCTTAATTTGTATAAAATTATGTTACAACTTAAAATTTCTTTTTTTTTACAATAGCAAAAAGTGAATTAGTTACCGTATTTTCTCTAATAGTAGTGCACCCTGAGCGTTGCCTAAATTCCTCGAAATCTTGAGAACCGCTTATCAGAACCTATCGATTTGGGGTCGGAAAATGTAGCTGACGATGAGATCTTGTGGAGGATTAGAGCTTCTGTTGAGCTTCTGTGAAAACTTTGAAAGCTGGAAAATAGTCACCAACTCGGCTCGCTGGGGTGCACTACCTATAAGAGAGAATACGGTATATAGAAAGAGCTGTGTCTGTCTCTGCGTATCTGTAATATCTGTGAACTCTGCGTACATCTGTAAACAATTGTAATTACCGTATTCTCTCTAATAGTAGTGCACCCTGAATTGCTCGAAATCTAGAAAAGCGCTTATCAGAACCTATCGATTTGGGGTCGGAAAATGTAGCTGACGATGAGATCTTGTGGGGGATTAGAGTGTTGAGCTTCTGTGAAAACTTTGGAAGCTGTAAATAGTGATCAACTCGCCGGGGTGCACTACTATTAGTTTTTAACTATTAGAAAGTTTTTTTGTTTCTTTCCATTAAAAAGAACAAATTCATTAATTAATCTATAGTTTTCTCTATATAAAAATGTTTAATTTCAATCAATTTTCGTCAATTTTTTGACCTTTTTAAGTCAATTTAAGTCAATTTTCTCATCTTTTAAAGACACTTTTGATTTAATTTCAAACAAATTCGACTGGCAATTCGACTTTGCGATTTCTTTCATGAGAAAGGGCAATTATTTTTGCTACAAAATAAGATTAAGATGAGTTTAAAAGGACTTATGTTTGGATTTCTTTTTGAGAGTCAGAAGTCGAGTAGTCAAAAAGGCTTGATGATGGTCGACACTTTAGTTAAAGAAACGGGTAGTCAAAAACCCGCTCGATGATTCGGTTTAGACATTAGACCGTTAAGAAAATCTATCTTTATCTCAATAGTTAAAAAATAGAGCATAAAAAGTTCTATAGCTTAATTTTTAAATAAATTGATTCAATCAATTTTTTTGTGTAGAGATTTTTGATAGATTTTTGCGAAAAATGAGTTTTTTTGTTTTCGAATTCGACTGGCAAGCATTTACCGAGAAAACATTTTTGGGATCGCGCACTAAAATGCACTAAAATACCGTAATCGGCCTTTTTGCGTAAAAATCTTTTTTTTTGGGGGTGGGACAAATGCGACCTTTTTTTTGCGCACCTGGACATTTGCGCACCTTTTTTTTGCTGGAAAAGGCCTTAGAGCTTCGAAAATATTTCCATATAGGGGAATCGTATGCGTAGATTCCGAATTTCGACAAATCACACCTCGCTGACACGTCAAATTTGGGCTAAAAGGCAAAAACTGCGGAAAAGCGTTAAGTTGCGTAGTTTTTGCCTTTTAGCCCAAATTTGACGTGTCAGCGAGGTGTGATTTGTCGAAATTCGGAATCTACGCATACGATTCCCTTATATGAAAACATTTTTGAAGCTCTACGACCTTTCCTAAGGCCTTTTCCAGCAAAAAAAAGGTGCGCAAATGTCCAGGTGCGCAAAAAAAAGCTCGCATTTGTCCCACCCCCTTTTTTTTGCAAATTTGCAAAACAAAACAAAAAAGATTTTTACGCTAAAAGGCCGAATACGGTATTTTAGTGCATTTTAGTGCGCGATCCCAAAAAAAGGTTTTCTTGGTAAATGCTTGCCAGTCAAATTGAATCAATTTATTTAAAAATTAAGCTATAAAACTTTTTATGCTCTATTTTTAGACTATTGAGATAAAGATAGGTTTTCTTAGCTGTCTAATGTCTAAACCGAATCATCGAGCGGGTTTTTGACTACTCGTTTCTTTAACTAAAGTGTCGACCATCATCAAATCTTTTTGACTACTCGACTTTTGGTTCTCAAAACAATCGAAACATAAGTCCTTTTAAACTCATCTTAATCTTATTTTGTAGCAAAAATAATTGCCCCTAGGAAAGAAATCGTAGTTCAATTTGTGATTTTTTTTGATTGTAAATGGAAGCACAAAAATAATGACTTTCTGGATAGCTTTATATATTTTTCAAGCTCTTTAAATCAATTTTATTTTATTTTATTTTATTTTATTTTATTTTATTTTATTTTATTTGATTTTATCTTATTTTATTTTGATTTTATTTTGATTTTATTTTCTTTGATTTTGATTTGATTTTTGATTTTCTCTCTATGATTTTTGAGCTGTATTTGAAAGTATAAAGTTTATTTTTATATTTTTTTTTTCTTTATTCATGCATTCTTTTGTCTTTAGAGTACGAAATTTTGGTCGTTTTGAAAAAGACAGGTGCTTTTATGGCTAATCAAATTTCGATTCGATCGAAAATGGGATTAAAGAAAAGTAGAAAAAAGTGGTGAAAAAGTGAGCAACAAAATACAGCTAATATCAATTTCTTTAATGAATTTCTCAATCTGAGGCTGAATGACAGTTCGGAATAGATTTTTAAACTCGAACTCAAGCTTTAATTTTCTGTCTTACTCTCTTAGTTTTCTTATAATTATTAGGTTGGAGAGAAAGTCTTTGCCGATTTTTTTGAGAGAGGATCTTAAACTTGTGCGATCTGTAGCAAAATACAGCTAATATCAATTTCTTTAATGAATTTCTCAATAATCTGAGGCTGAATGACAGTTCCAGAATATATAAAATATAAAATAGCTCATTAAAAAGCTAATTTTCTATCGAATTCGATAAAAAAACTCTAAAAAAGGAAAATTCAACAAACTTAAAAAGAAATAAATAATGTTTTAAAACAATTAAACAATATAATCGTCTTGTTTTGTTTAAAAATCTATTCTGGAACGGTCATTCAGCCTCAGATTATTGAGAAATTCATTAAAGAAATTGATATTAGCTGTATTTTGCTGCTCACTTTTTCACCTCACAAAAAAAATCGGCAAAGACTTTCTCCTGAATCTAATATCTTAGTGCTTTTGTATCCTTTTTTTGTGTTTACATAGATTGAAAGGTCATTAATGAGAAAGAGATCAATCCAATGTAAGTGAAAAGTGCCAATTATTCGTCGTTTTCCCTTCTCTTTTCTCTTTGATCGGACGAATCGACCGACGACAAAAACATAAACGCACAATAGGATCACCGTTGATCTATCTCTCTTCACTAAACATCACCGTTGATCTATCTCTCTTCACTAAACATCACCGTTGATCTATCTCTCTTCACTAAACACTACTTGTTTTTCTGTAGCTCTTGTTACTAGATTTTGTTCGAAAAACTCTCAATCTAGAAAAGAAGGATGAGCTTTACAATTGTAACTTTAGAGCCTTTACTTTATAGATTAGAGACTTTTGAGCAACTTTGTGCTCAAAACTATTTTCTTGTTCACTAAATTCTTATCCAGATCTCTTGTCCTTGCTTGTTTTTAATCCAATTCACCCAAATCTAGAAAGTCTAAATAAAAAAAAATCGAATCAGAGCTTTGTAAGTGTAACTCTAATGTTTTACTTTGTGACAAGTAGCTCAAAATGAGCTCAAAATGCATCATCTTTCTAGTATACTCAATTCCATTTCTTTAGCAGCAACGATTGTTCAACTTGAATGCTCAAAAAGTATGTGTTTACATCTTTGAACAATTTAGAAAGCTTGAAGCACTTGATCTACTTGATCATCTACTATATATAAAGCCAAAGAGACGTCCGTCCGTCTGTTTGGCAACAAGGGGCGGGGCTTAGTTTGCGCGGAAAACGCGAAAGTTTTCCGCTGGTATAAGAATACTTTTTATTGCTTTAATATTATTGTTATACTTGTGTTTTGAATGTACGACATAGTTGGAGCTAGGGCAGATGAAAACTTGTGCTTGAAACTGTGCCGGGATTTGAACCCACGACCTTTCGCTTAACGGGCAACTGTGCTAACCTTTACACTATAACGCACTTGATCTCCCTTACTCTAGAGGGAGTGAACTTCCCTCCTCTCTGGACGAGACGGTTCCACACATCTCGGTTTATAGTCCTGGGGTATAGAAACTATGTATGAAGACCTTAGCTAGCATCGTAGAGCCCATCCGTCTGTAGTCTCCAGTTGGAGACTAGGCGGATCAAAAACTTGTACGCCGTCGGGACTCGAACACGCGACCTTTCGCTTATCGGTCAACTGCGCTAACTACTAAACCACAAAGCACTTGATCTCCCTTAGTCCAGAGGGAGTTAACTTCCCTCCTCTCTGGACGAGACGGTTCCACACATATCGGTTTATAGTCATGGAGTGCGCGCGAAACTAGGTATGAAGACAGCATTGCAGAGCCTATCCTCAGTTGGATACTAGGGTAGATCAAAAACTTTTGCGTCGCCCGGACTCGAACCCGGGATCTTTCGCTTAGCGGGCAACGGTGCTAACCATTACACCACAACGCGCTCGGTCTCCCCTACTCCAGAGGGAGTTAAGTGAAAGTAAAGATGATATTTTTGACTCTAATTCTTTGGTGCAAAGTTTCATTAACTTTATAAAGATTTGCAAAGAAATTCAAATTTTATGCAAAGCTTATTTCACTTAAAAGATTAAAAGCTATCAGGACTCGAACCAACGACCTTTTGCTTACCCAGCAACTTTGCTAACCATTACACTACAAAGCACTTGATCTCTCTTAGTCCAGAGGAAGCTAATTTCCCTCCTCTCTGGACGAGACGGTTCCACACGTTTATAGGCTTGGGGTATAGAAGCTAGGTATGAAGACCTTAGCTAGCATCGTAGAGCCCATCTTTCCTTGGTCGACAGTTGGAACTAGGGAGATCAAAAACTTGTGCGCCATCGGGACTCGAACCCACGACCTTTCGCTTACCAAGCAACTTTGCTAACCATTACACTTGATTGCCCTTACTCCAGAGGGAGTTAACTTTTTGATGTCTACAATTCCTTTTGTTTGATTAACTTGCCTTGTTTTCAACGTCTTTCCTAGCTTTTTTTCTCTATTGAATGTCT